ATCAGGCCTAATTTATATGTATTTAATATAAGCAGACACTACATAGTTTGAAATCACCAAGTCAAACTATCCATCCCTGATTATTATTATTATTATTTAGCATAGATTTTTGAAGGAACTACTAACTATCAAATGGCTTAGAAATAAGCACCCAATACACACACAGGTGGGTGGGTGGTGGAAGATGAACATCTCAGGAAGCCATTTTACAGAAAAACATAGGGCTTTAGGTGATGCCTTCCACCTGGTTACCCTCAACCTATTGAGCCAAGATTACTGACAATAACATTTTCCTTTTATTGCACAGAAAATAGCTCTGGATTTGCTCTTTGTTTTCTTCCATGTGTATACTTCCTATGGTCATATAAGGAATATACAAGGTCACTGGATAAATAAAAAGCGATTTTCCCCCTAAGTAAGCCAGTACACAATAAAGTGACAGCAAGTCTTTTTATTTTAAACCTTAGTAAATATAGTCTCCTCGAGAGGAGTGTTATCTTTAATTACCACTTATTTGGTAGAAAATAGTGACTATAAATCAATTCAAGGTCTCTAGACTCTCCGAATATTAATGAAGATTGCCTCCCAACAAAGGCAATCTGTGGGAGCATGTAGGTTAAAAGGCCAGCGTCAGGGTAAAATAATATTCTCTATTCACAATAAGGTCAGATGGAGTTTAGTCAGTCCCCTGATGGTTTCTTTTCAACAGAGACACAAGCTCAGATAGGAAAACTGAAGGATGGCTTCTTTTAGCTGCACGGTAATTACAATTTGTCCATGATGTAATGAAGCATCTCAGCTATGTTATTTCTTTAAAATATAAGTAGCGCACGGTGTTGATGACAGTGGGGGGAAAAGCCACAGAGAATAGCGTGCTGTGACAGTGTGCATCTGCTGGCCACATTGTGTGACTACTGCCAGAAGATGGGGAGAGGTTCCTCTCAGTGAGGACACTAAAACTGAGTTACTGACAAAGGCTATGCACACATCTAAATGGTATCTCAAAAAAACAAAACAGACAAATGCTCACCCTCGGGAAGGATTTGCTATGTTTCTACCTTAACAAAGGAACATGAAATAGAAAATCCTCAGGCTTCATACATTACTGTCATTCTTTAAGTTAAAAAAGGACTCCCCCCGATCTTTCTTCAGCCCTGGAATTATCAATTTTTATTACGATTACAATCTTTCTGTTGCACAAGACTTGCAATTTGCTCTAATAATGAAATGGGTTTGCATTCTAACTGCAGTCAGTATTGTTAAAACGGCAAACCAACATCTGCTAAAAAGGTAGCTGTTTTAATGGAAAACATTCAAAGCTCAGCTTGGGTCAGGGAAGAAATGATAGGCCTTTGGAAATTTTTCAAAAAATAAGATGGGCTGATGTCCAGCTCTATGGGGAAATGTGTTCTGAAGCAAACACAGTGACCTCTTAACAGCTGTGGAATCTAGGAAGCTGTGGAGGCTTACTGTAAAATTGTTTCAACTTTCCTAAGCTTACAGAGTTTCCTAAGAAGTTGTTGGGGGTTGGGGGAGAAGCAAACCTATTTGAAAGCTGTTCAAAACAGTGAGAGAAACAGCCAACCCCCACAGAATGGTTCTGCAAAAAACAGACTAGGCAAGATTTGCTGCTGATGTTTGTTAAGCTGAAGGGGGGAAAGATTGACACAACTTTTCCTCTTTTTGACCCCCAGGAAAGAAAAAGCTATTACCTTTATATTGAGGGACAAAGCATGTAGAAAAGTGGGCTTACAACAAATCTTATACTAAAGTTAAGTTTTTCTGGGAAAATTTTGCATAGAAACTAAAATTTCTTCTTTATCTAAAAATATGACGATTAACTTCTTGCTATTGAAGACCTTCATTTTTTCCTATAGTTTGGATTATCTATTCTTTTTGACAATATCCACTTACTATGAATCGACAAGAAAAGATTCGATAAAATCTAAAACATCATTAAAAATGACCAGTGCATCGAAAACTCTGCTGACCTATTTCATGATGTGCATTGAAAGTGTGTATGATGTGTGTCCTAAGCCTTACAACACAAATAGCTTACTGAAGAGGTGTGAACAAGACATGCTCACGTCTGAAGTTCTATCAGTGACTTTCTTTCAACATATTACACACCTGCATTGCATAAAACAGGAAGTGTAACTGAAAGAAATTTCTTGAGTACTAGTAAAGATCTCTATAAATACACACGTGTTGTAAACCTACTATGGGCATGCACAATGCTGAGCCTAGGGAAGCGGGTGTGAGGAAGACAAGGCACTGACTTCTTGAGATTATTTTCACAAAGAAATATGAGAAGGCTATTTTATTTATTTATATTTTTCATTGAAAATTCATTCAATATATTCTAATTATGGTTTCCCCTCTGCCATCTCCCCCCAGATCCTTCCCACCAGCCCCCAAGTCAACTTCATGCCTTCTTTTTCTCCTTAGAAAACAAACAAGCAAATAAAAAGCAAACAAAACAGAATTTTAAAAGGTGCAAAAGCATAACACACATAGACACAAAAGCAAAACCCACAATACAACTGGAAACCACAATATACAAGTCAAAAGACTAATAAGATTTACAAAAAATGCCCAAGCAAATCAATATGAGACACATATCTACAAATATGTCACTGAGTTTGTTCTGTGTTGGCCATCCATTGCTAGGCACAGGGCTTATACAGATAGGCAATTTTAAACAGACTTAGCTCATTTATAGATGTAGCACTGTAATAGAGGACACTCCTTTGCTTAGAGGCTTAGAGAGGATGAATTAGTGCAGAGCTAGGCTGAAGATGGACGACAGAATTCCACGCTGAGATGACAGCAAGGTGCACATGGCTACATGTTTTGGACACAGAACTACAGCATCACTGGAGAAAAGCTCATGGTACGCAGCATGGAAGGAAACTAGGGAGGCAGGGACTGAACACCCCATAGATAATCTCAGGGTTATGTAAAGGAGCATGAGATTATTCTTGGCTTTCCACAGAAGCTTAGAAAGGGGATGGCATCTTTAGGTGGTATCTTTACTAGAAACTCCCAGGTTCCTCCGAAGACAAGATGGCTAGAAACAGAGTAATGGAAGTGAACCACCATAGGGACAGTAAGTTTGGTTTCCGAGAAAGAGCAGACATGGCCCTGCATGTGGGGGTGACTAATATCTGGCTTGGGCAAATGTCAACCTTATCCCAACCAACATACATACCACGGAGAAAAACACCCAGCACATGGAGAGGATGCGTTCAGCTCTGGATGTGTGGGACTTGGTAGGTTTCTGAGTTATCTGGGGCTTGATTCCCAGCATTAACACGGTGGCTTATACCCATCAGTAAGTCCAGTTCCGGGGATTCTGATGCCCTCTTCTGACCTTTATGGGCACCAGAAGCACACATGGAAGATAGATAAACATGCAGGCAACAAACATTCACACACACAAAAAAAAGAATTTCTAAAAAAAAAAAAAAAAAAAAAAAAACTAAAAAGAATTTTCAAAAGTATACCCCTAGTATTCATGTTTAGAAATATTTTAAAATGCTTATCTGCTATTAGTATATCTCATTTGGTGTCACTCAAACTCTTTTGCCCATTTGCTCATGTTGAGCTGTTTTTTTTTATTGTATTTAACAATTCATTACGTGTTGATCCATCTTTAGTTTATTATTAGGGTGTGTGTCGTGGGGTACAGGTCTTTGGAGGGCAGGGGATAACTGTGACTGTGGGACTGTTTTTTTTTTTTTTTCGTTTTTTTTTTTTAGGCTCCAGGGGTCAAACTCGGGTGGTCAGATATGTGGAACAAGTTCCCCTACCAGTTGAGTCATCTTGCTGACCCTGCTTTTTGCGCTTTGAGTATTGTGTGTTCTGCGTAAGTCCTTTACCAAATTTCTGGCTTGCAAATACTCTTCTCTCAGTGTACGACTTTCATCTTTTGAAGGGAGCTTTTATTTTTTTAAGGCATAACTTTTCTCTCTCTCTTTACCATGTCTTTGATGTCATACCTAAGGAATCTTTGCCTAGACGGGGCGCAGATTTTTTTCCCTTTGTTTTCTTCTAGTTTTAGGACTTTTCATTTACATCCATGTTCTATTTTAAGGTGTGTGTGTGTGTGTGTGTGTGTGTGTGTGTGTGTTTTAATATGGTGCAAAAATTAAATCAATGTAGTGGCAACAGGAGAACCAGCTCGAAAAGGCTTATAGAATGAGACGTGCAGAGGTCAGACAACCCTTGAAGGAAAAAGGTCAGGCTTCGGGAAGCAGGGATAGACAGGAGGGCATACTGCCCTGAAGCCATCAGGAAAAATCTGAGTAGCCAGCACTGTGTACCAAGACAAGCAATGAAACTGTCTTTCCAGCTTGAATGACGTTTCGGTAAACTTTTCCACCCAATCCTTTTATAAGAATATTGGTAACAATCGCTGAGAGGTCTGAAGCATTTTTTTCTCCTTTTTCTTTCCTTTATGCATCCCACCACCCCCTCCGCCATGGCATTACTTTAAAAAAAAAAAAATTACCCTTGAGTTAGTTACTAAGTAATGGGCTTCATTGTGGCATTTTTCATCCGTATGTGTCATCACACTTTGTACTTAGGCATCCCTTGAGCACTCTTGAAAGGTCATTGTTGACTGAGGATGACTAAAGCAGATCCCTGGGGGGGCATTCCAGACTCAGATGCTGGGGACAGACCCCTGGAAGGAGTCACTGCCCTCTCCCGTGGGAATTTACAACCACACTCTGCACGGCTTGTCACCCTGTCCCCTCGCCAGGGTGACCGCTGGGGAAACTACAGCAGATCCACAGAGCCAGGATTCTAATATGAGCAAAGGCGGCGCCAGGCTTGCCGGGAACATGGGCACACTGGGTCCTTTCCCGACCTTTGACCCCAGCCCCAGCGCCCACAGGTTAGTCCTGGCCACTGCGGGAAGCTACTTACGGCTCCGGGAGCCGCCTGCCTCCTCCCCTCCTACCAGTCGTAAAGTGCTGTAAAAAGCCCTGCGCTTTACGGCACGGGAGGTGGGACCCGGAAGGTCTGTCACTGCCGGACACATGCTTTTGAATCTGCGTTTATAGAAAGGCGACAGTGAGACTTTAAGGGGCGTTAGCGAAGCACCTACAAGTCGCGAAGCGGGTAATTGGATTCAACTTTACTTAAAACAGTCATTCCAGCCGTTTCTAAGTGTATGCGTGATGTAAGGGTCTCAGACGTCACGTGCGGTGCGGTGCCCCTGGAGCACCGTTGGTTTTATCTTCGTCCCTAGTCTTTAAGTCCCCGGTATTAGCTGACGTTTTTGTTATTCCCTTTGCCCTGCAGTCGCCCTGTCCCTGGAGTTCAAAATGCTTTACCTGATCGGCTTGGGCCTGGGAGATGCCAAAGACATCACTGTCAAGGGCCTGGAAGTTGTGAGACGCTGCAGCCGCGTCTATCTGGAAGCCTACACCTCAGTCCTGACTGTAGGGAAGGACGCCCTGGTACGTTATTAAAGTCCCAGGTCTCTGGGGACGAAAACTAGCCGGCATCTGAATCTCGTACACTAGATTGCACAGAGTCTAAACGTCTGCATTTTTTTAGACCCTTTTAAAACACACACCCTGGGTCTGGAGAGAACAGAAAACGCACTCACACACTAACACAGCGACTTGGGAAATGAAACGGTGGTTTGTCCTGCTTTACAATTCTAATGTTTGTGGCTTTGTCCAGTAAGTAAAAAAAAAAAAAAAGAATCATTTTACACTCTTGGGGATAGTTATCAAAATCCGTTATTTCATGAGCTAGCCAAGAAATCCTTTCGGAGTTGAGGGCTAATGAGTTGCTGACGCAGCCTTAATGAGTTGGTATCCAGTCAGCGAGCAATCTGAAAGCTTCTGCCTTTGAAGTATTTCCACTGGGAATGGCGGTGATCGCCTCTCTGTCTGCAACATATCCAAAGAGATCTTACTTAAAATCTCCCAGGAAGGCTGGCATTCCCACATGTGCATAAAGAGTGAACCCAAGACTAAGTATCCAGAGGATTTATTAGTGTATTGTATACCTTGAGCAGGCTCTCATTAAGGGTAAATATGTAAATAATAAATATGAGCAGAAAGGTCAATGTCTGGTTGATTGTCAAACTCAAAGTGGAACATATATTGAGCTAAAGGACTTATGGGTGTGTTGTGGGAGGAGGGGAAGGGCTTTCTAAATTGTCAAGTCTTCCAAATCAAAGTGCGAGCCACAGAATTTCTGGTCTTTCCTCTCAGACAGCCCAGAGAATTCGGAAGGTTGCAGCGTTACTTTGAAATCTTGAAGACTTGATTAAGGCTTGTTGAATTTGCCATGCATTATAACAAAAATAGTGTCTAATGTTCAACTTGCTGGCCGCACTTGCTGGTTGTGACTCTTACTTCAAGATGACAGAACTGTGTCTCTGATCACTGACCCAAGGCCATAATGCGTTTACAACCATCTAAAAGAATAGGCAGGTTAATAGAATAAGGTTTTGGACAATAGCTCAGAGGAAAATTGGGACATTTTGTGCTTTGCGACATGTTCTTGGACAGTTCCTGTACTTTTAATTTCTTGTATAAGCTGAGGTCAGAAGAGTCAGCCTCCTAGGCTCTTAGAACAGTGCCTAGCATGAAAGTTTTCAGACATTTTAGTCAATACATGTCCAAGCTTCTGCCATCATTTGTCAAAGAGAAATAACCAATTGGAAGGTTATGTAGTTTTTTATTAGGGTGTTTGTCAAAAAGCATTGTAAATAAATTATAAATGCTAGGAAAGTATTATTTTTCAAGATATTTTTTATTGTCCTCCCAAAACATATTTGTAGTCATTACAGAGTGACAATCAGGATTTTGGTCTGACCTACTTCTAAGTAAGTTATGTGTGTGTTTTAAGGTGCTAGAATACCTGTTATTGCATAGTAATGAGTGTTAATGCTTATAGGGCATTTGTTTTGCTCTGGTTTTTATTTTCTTTACAATCCAAGAATTGAACACAGGGTCTCTCTCATGCTCCACAGACTCCACCACAGAGCTACAATCCCAGTGCTCTGTACTCACTGTTCGCATTTCATAGGCACACAGCTGTTCCACAACTTGTCCAGTGTCATACAGCTAGTGTCATAGGCAAGAAACAGACTGGAGACAGCTCTGGGTTGAGAACTGCTGCTCCAGACTGGCGTACTGTCTTTCTGCAGTCTTAGCTGTGGATACTAACTACACAAGGATGGCTTCAGGAATCACTAACAGAGAAGTCACATTCAGCATAATAGCTTGGCCTAGATGCTGTCCTATTACAAAGTTCCTTAGTCGTCTCTTCATGAACTCCTCCAGGTTCTTAATTCCTATTCTTCCGTGAGCAGCTTGCCCCAGGATACCATCTACCTTAAGTCTGTCATTTATAAGTTCATACCTTATAATTCCAGTAATGTAGAGCCTTTTCTCCTCAATCACATTCTTCTGTCTTTCTTTTACCCCCCTTCATTTCTATTTTTTCTTATTAAAACAAACTGATTTTTAGAAATTGTTGACTTATACCTATATAATATAAAGTCCTGTTCCAACGTCTAAATAATTATATCACCGTGAAAAAAATAGATAATTTCATTTTCTGTAATGAACACATTCTTTCTATTTAGTAGTAAAGAGCCAGTCAAGGTTTTATAAAAGGCACATATACAGTTGTTGCTAAAGAAATTCCAAGCTTGCCTATTCTTCCATTAATCACTGTTGTATTCATACGGCCAAATGGTAGTTGTATTAATATACTCTCCAAAAGAAATAGAGAGACAGCAAATCTGGAAAAGAGTGTTAAGTTTTGTTACATACAACTTAAGCTTCCCAGGTAATTTCTTTTGATACATTAAATCCTATGTGCTTATTGGTTGAATGCATCTGTGTATTATATAAAGATGTATAAACAGCGTAGTCTTTGTTACAAGTGGTTCATGCTTCTGTCTGCATTATACTTAAGAAAACTTAATGAAAGGCTTAAGTAGGAATATAAAAGTAGTGGAAGGAAGAAAATATAATATGTCTAGAAATAACTGAAGTGGTTTTATCTAAACGAGGATTCTGGAAACCTGTAATATAAATCTGTCCCTGGAACCCACATGGTAAAAGAAGAGAGCCAGTTCCTTCCAGTTGCCCTGTGACCTCCACATGTAGGAGATAGATAACTGTTAGCATGACACTGGTGGCATGTGGCATCGTTGTTTGGGGGAAACGTTAGTTCAGGAAAGACCATTTTTTGCCATGGTATCTAGTTATCATATGTGTTCTCTTAGAGATGTAGGTATAATTGTCTTGTGACTGTAAGTTTTCTGGTTTCTAAAATCAAAGTAAACCGTAAAGATTAATGATTAAGAAAAAGATACACAGTAAAAGTAAAAATAAAGGATTCATTTTTTAAAATCTGTGTAAGCAGTGTTATTGAAATGTCTCTCTAGGGTGAGGTTTTCCATTTGAGTAACAGATTTTATATAAGTATTAGGAAATAATTACCTCATTTGGAATTGTAGCATTTGGTTTTGGATGCTTATTTGTTTGTCCGTCTACTTCCTTGAATGACAAATATTGGGTGCCACTGCTCCCATTGTAGCAGTCTCTATAACTTTTAATAACTCAGACTTCTTAATATGAAGGAATAAATTTATTTTTTATTCATGCTTTTCTATTTTTGAATTGCATAGAAACTCAGTTCTACGATTCATGATCTCGCATTAACCAGTATCACGTGACTACTAGTTCACTGGCTCAATCTTCTGGATTTGCTCTCTAGAATTGAACTTCAGGAGATAAATTGACAAAGCAGCTTGGATGGAAACGTCCTATGTATTTAAATTCATTTCTTGTCCTGTAATTATGTAGGTCTGTTCATTTTTTTCTTTCTTTTTTGCTAAATGGCGAAATCATAATTTTCTGTCATTTCCTATTGACGTGGCCTTTTATTTTAGCCAGCACACCACAAACGCTCCTGTAGAGGTTGGGTGAAACATCTGCACTACCACGTGTCATTATTGTTAATGTATTCCATATTTTCATGTTTCAGGAATAGGGCTCATGAATACATAGTCTCTGTTTATCCTTTGGTGTCCTGCCTGGTCTATTAGACACACATTTAGAGGCCTCAGATGTTAAGAGGTCTGCCTTCTCTAGGGATCTGGTGATAGCCCCAAAGACAGAGTTTAATTGCTTCATGATATGGAGTTCTGGCTTACTGATGAGGTGTACCGAATGATCTGTGTTTGGATGGTTGCCAAGGTTAGCACCTAGTTCTAGACAAAGGTTGTTCTTCGATGTCTGCGTTGAAGACTCACCTGCTGTCTCTCATTTTGATATCTTGATATCCTACTTAAATTTCTAGGAAGAGTTTTATGGAAGAAAATTGATTCTTGCTGACAGAGAAGAAGTGGAACAAGAAGCAGATAATATTTTGAAGGATGCTGATGTCGGCGACGTTGCATTCCTTGTGGTGGGTGATCCGTTTGGGTAAGTCAGAATAGACACTGAGTTATTTATTTACCAGCACTGCTTATTCTATTTAAAACCGTCCATGTTAGGGTTTGATAAGTTTACCTGAGTTCTAACTAAAATTTTGTATTTAATTTTTTTTGTTTGAAAATTAATGAAGAAAATTTACTTGATAAAGATGTCATCCTAAGAATTATTACCTTAACAAGTGTCAACACTAACATTTATTTCTTTGATGGTTTTGTTTTTGTGCAAGGTTATACAAGGTATCAAATACCGTTAACTAGTGTGTCATTATTAAATAAGGCACTATGCTATCAAAAGTCAGGTCTGCCATTTGCTTTGGTAATTGCAAGCATCTTTGACTTCTTTTGTTCTAAGTCCCCCCCCCTTTAATAATCTAATATTTGGCAATAATACTGTCACTTACTTGCCTTGGATTTATCATTTATCAAGCCTCTGATTTCAATGTCTCATCCCCATTGGGAGCAGTGCTCTTCCTCATTACCAGGAAGATGGGTTTCTACTTGTCTAGTCAAGCATCATCAATCTCTAGTGTCAAGCCAAACACAAGAGTTCTTTGTCTACAGCTGGTGACCCAAGATTTATGTCACAGATTTGAGGACCATAAGGACAATTAAATCACTCTGGGTCCACCATCAAGGATATTTCTCAAAACAATGGAGTTACATGTATATGCGACTGTCATAAAGAAAATAATTTATGTAGTCTGCAGGGCCAGAGAGTCTGTATCGTTATTATATTTGATTGCAAATTATATCAGGTAATCACACACTATAAAATATTTAAATTGTTTTAGCCCCTGCCTGACATTGTTTTCTGTAAAATTAAGGTTTCCTCAAATTTCATGGTACCTTTATATTTCTTCTTTGCGATAGGATAGTAAAATGAAATGAAATGAGGAAAATAAAAAAATCGTCCCCGCAAATGTCTTTTAAATGGAATTTTCTCACTCACACACACTCCTGTCTAAAACACGTGTCTTCTGTCGGGATGCCCTCCCAGACCTGCCGTGCTGTCACTGCAGTGTTTTCAGTCACCTGAGAAGCAGTCTTAGTCACTGGCAGTGTCCGTTCATTGTACAGTAGAATTGCTGCTCACAGTGAGGCTTGTAGACTGCTACAAGTCCACAGACTTTTGCTAGTCCAGATGAAATAAGTAGAGAAATTGAGACCAATCATTAGAAACTAATATAGCCTTTTAAAAAGTAAATAAATCAAGTTTTCACCATACTTTGAGAAACACTACATACAATTGGTTATTTATTGTCCAGTTTTTTTCATATCCTGTCTTTTTTTAAAATTTACTTTTAATGTCATTATTTTAACCAGGTTAATGTATTCTGTACCCTTTGCGTGGTCTCCATACAGGGTTTTAACTCATGACTCATGTTATAGTCAAGTTTGTATGGAAAAAACATAATAATTTAAAGACCTCAGCTGAGAACTTTAGAAGCCCATTATTAGCTAAATATTTAAAGCCTGCCAGCCTGCTCTTCACGTCTGTGTCCTGCCTTTGTAGTAGGACCGCAGATATGCCAGCCAAGCCATTCCATCATTGTTTTCCACTTTGACACCTTAGTTCAGGCTTCCTGCTCCTGTATCTGTCAGAGGTCTCTGCATCTGTTACCTCACACCTCTCTCTCCTGTAGTTCTTTGTCACTCCAGCCTGAATTTGTAGCTCCATTTGACGATGGGGTTATTGTTGATGGCTGTTCAGTTAGTTTATGGAGTTAGTTTATTGGTGTACCTGTTAGCTTATGCATTTGTGATTGCTGTATCAGTTAGTTTATGGGGCTGTGATTGATTTCCCAAGAGAACAACTTACGAGAAGAAAGATTTACTGTGGTTACTGATTTTAGGGATTTCAAACTGGGGTTGTTTGGCCCCCTATACTACCATCATGGCAGAGGTAGCATGTAATAGAGGAGCTTTTTCATCCCATACCAGACAGGAAGCTAAGGGAGAAAGTGACAGACACAAGAAAGGGCCAGAGACAAGATGTCCCCAAGGACCACTCCCAGCGATCTGCCTTCAGGTAGGTCCTCCCTCCTGCAGTGTTCGGAACCTCCCAGGTAGCACCAGCTGGGGAAGAAGGCACAGTAGATGGATGAGTCTTTTCGAGCACACTTTCTATCTGGACCCTCACTGTGCTAGTTTTCACACAGTTCCTCACAACACTTAAATAACTGTGTGTCTCTACTTTCCTGTGGCTATACACAGTATCCTTCACGTGTCTAGTTCTCTAATTTCATTCATAATGCTTGGCACATAATTGCCGCTAATTAAATATTAATTGAAGAACTTTGTGATAGCTTGCCTCAGTTCAGCAAGGAAAGAGTTACCTAGTCACCCAGATACCTTTCATCCGTCTCTTGGGATAGGAACTCCTACTTAATGAGTTGGCTAGATATGGACTTAAAAGCTTGATGGGAGTTACCAACAGTAATCACAGAAAAAGAAAAAAGTGTAGTTTTGGGGAAGTCTGTAAAGTGAAGAGAGTAGAGGAGGGAGGCTTACTTATGCAGAAGCATCTGGAAGAGCCTGGTTTTGAAGGTTGTACTGAAGCAAGTGACTGAAATGAGCTCCTGAGGCAGCTCATTCCAAGCAGAGGAGACAGAAAGACTGATTAAGGCACCCGAGGCCATAGTGGCTGGAGCACGTTAGGGAGAGGGTATAAGGAGGTGTATAGAGGGAGACAGGAGTCATCCATCTTTAAGACTTTGGAGGGAGCCTATTTGAAATACAGGGGCAAACCTTTGGAGGATTTTAAAGCAAGAAAATCACAATTCTTTCCAGTAGTAAAAGCCATTTGGCTCGCTTGGGGTGAGTAGACTCAAAGAGACGAGTGTTCCTGATGGAAGAAAAGAGAAGAATGGTATAGAACGTGCTTAGAAGGAAGATACAGGATGCATGTGGTAGACACGGAAAAGAAGGAAGGAACTCTGACTTGAGGACTGGTTCTAGAAGCGGGAGACCTGGTTGTTCTGGTCTGAAGTCATAGGTATGTGGGTGGTATTTAAAGCCAGAGGGAGGAATGGATAGGGTCACCACAGAAGAGAGACAAAAGAGGAGACAGTCTAGGAACAGATAAAGCTCTAGGAAAGGTGAGCATTCCACATAGCCAGAGGAGAGGGGTAAACAGAAGGATGTCATTACAGAAGCTGCAAAGACTTTCAGGTGAGCGAGCAGAAGAATGTTTATGTAGGTGGTGGTATTCGTGAGTGCTGAACTGGATGTGGACAGGGCTCTGCAGAAGAGACTGTAGGCGGGTGGTGGGGAGGAGGTGGGTAGCTCCCATGGAAAGAAAGCAGATGTGCAGAGAAACTGGCTTTGTGTCTTTATCCTTTAGTCTCCGCTTTTGCCCTGGCTACTTTTGTGACACTCTCCTAGCACTAAGTCGTGCAGCAGTGAATTTCTCGCATGTTGTTGCAGTATTACCCTGTGTATTTGCTCAGTTACCTGGGCTTTGCTTGTGCTATTTTGGTTTGGACTGAGACAGTCTCCTGTAATGTAGGCTAGCATTGAAATCTCAGTGTCCTAAACTAGTCTTGAACTCCTAGCCCTTCTGCCTTCACCTTCCAGGTGATACCCAGTTGCTAATTATAGATTTTTTGGGGACTATTTCACTGTTTTTTTTTTCTCTGAAACTCTAATGATAATTAATTTGCCTTATCTCAGTGCCTGATCATTTCCAACCATGTGTTAGATTCAAGTTCAAGTACTGCAGCTGTCTGATTACTGCTAGGTACAGACATTTTCTAGCATATAAAGCACCTTTCAAATGAATGTTAAACTTACAGTGTTTCTAGTAGCTCTTGAGATTATAATTTTCACTGTGCACCTTGACAGTAATTTTCCAGACTGCCAGCCCCTGTTCTCCCCCTCTTGAATGAATCCATCAGTTAAGCCATTTTGCATCTTTTCTTTTGAAATTGTTTTTAAAAGAACTCCAAATAACAAGTGCGCTGTTAAGGTAAAATTTCTTCACTATTTCTGGTTAGATAACTCAGTTCCTACATTTGGAAATAGTAAACTTATGTGTGTGTTGCTTGATCTGATTATTTCAAATGAGTTTGTGATGATTATACATTTTTAAACCAGTTTTTCTTTTCATCTATTTAAGTATAAGTAGCTCACCCATAAAGCTATTTAAATTAAAAATAACACCCTCATCAAATACCTAATTTACTTTTCCTTGAACTAAAATATTAGGTAGAAAGATTCTGTTCAAGATAGTGTTAAAAACATTCTTCACATCTTGTATTCTTATTATTTTTTTAAACACTCTAAATCAAATTGCTGATAATTTTTCATACGGGTTTTATTTTATGTGTGTGATTAAAAACAGGCTTCCCTGGTGGGCATGTTTTAATCTGTAGCGGGCTGCCTCATGGGGTGTAAGCCCTTGATCTTCCTACTTGGTATGCATTGACCAGTTGACAGATTCTGCTTATTCGTAAGTAGTTTCTCAAACATGCTAATGTTGCTTTCCCCAGTAGGGCTTAGCGTTTTTATCAAGATGAAAAGAACCTTTAGTAATGCCATTCTAAATTGATGTGCGATTACATGTCATAGTATTCAATTTATATTTACATATATTCTCTTCTCCCCCGGCCTACCTAGTTATAATCACACTTTTCACAAAAGGGAAGTTAACAGTCAGAACGTGCACAGGGACATACACACACATAGCACTAACTCCATACAGTAAGTAACCAGACTGAACACAGCTATACATAGGAAGACTATGCACAGATGTACACTCCAAATGGAATTCTGTCAGGCAGAATTTTAATAGATTGAAGGACCAACAGGCTATGTCCTGTGTTTCACCTTCAGTTTTAAGATATAAAAACAAATCCAAATAGTGCAGCAGTAAAGAATTTGGTTTAGTTGTATCACAGAACTGTAAAGGGAAAAATTCATCATTTAAAGTGTCTCACTTACATGTAGAAACTAAAGCATTAATATCTAAAAAATGAATATTAGGCTAATTGTCACCAGAGCCTGGGAAGGGTGCTGGGGCAGGGGCTAGAGTAAAGACGGTCACTGGGTACAGAAGAAAGCTGAGATAGGAGTAGAAACTATGGTTGGTCACAATTGAGTATCTTGAAATAAATGGGGAGTAGAGAAGACTCTTGAATATTTGGAACATGGGAAATGATAAATGAGTGAGGTGCTAAGTCATTTTGATCATTACAACTTATCTAAAGACGTCCTGAGAGAAGAATCAGATTGCTGAGTTTGTATTCTCCAGACATCTTTAGCGGATATCAGGACAGCGCTCCTTTCTTCATTCGGTGTCAGTGCTATGGCTGGAGTAACATCTTGTGAGGGATGCGGGTAGACGTACACTGCATCCCTAAGAAGCCCAAATAAAAGATCTCTGCAGGTGCCTAGTGGAATCTGAGGAAGAACAGTTGACTCTTTGACTTGAATTCATGAGCTAGGATAGAAGATTAATGCCATTCACTTAACTGAACCTGTTTTCTCACTGCAGGGCTACAACACACAGCGATCTTATTCTGAGAGCCACAAAGTTGGGAATCCCTTACCGGGTTATCCACAATGCATCCATAATGAATGCTGTAGGCTGCTGTGGCTTACAGGTAATGCTGCAGGGGAGTGCCGGGTGGAATGTGGGAGAATGTTCTGTTTTCCTGCAAGTGCCAGGCTGATTTTACTCTTATTTCATACTGGAGCTATAAAGCTTAATTTTTGAGAATGTACTCTTGAAATATTTCCTAAGTTTTATGTTCTGTTTTCTTATAAGTTATTTATTATTTTTCCTTTCTTGTAACCCTTTCTTTCAACAGGCCGAGTAAATTTAGTTCCAGAATGATTTTAACCTTATATTGGTCCTGTGCATACATAAAAAAGGAAAGAGTGAGCAAATTACATTCAGCGTTCCCCAGCAGTCTTTATATTCCTCCAGTGACTTCATCACTGCAGCTGAGCCTGAGTTTCCCACACAGCATCCCTTTCTCTTTCCCTGAGAACGTGTTTCTTAAGTGAATACAGAGCTGAGAGCCAGTGAGGAAGGCCATGTTACAAGTGCTGGGGTGTAAAATTAGCTACTTTTAACTCCAGCAAGTGTGGCTCAGAGAGCTTGAAAGAGTGCTCTATTGATGTTTCTGAGATTTTCTCTTAAGCTGTTGGTACCCCTGTCCAAGTATGATAAATGTTCTGATGTTGACACATGCGTGGTTCATGGCAGCTGTGATCCCTGCGTGGACAGCAGTGCTTTTTAAGACACTGCTTAAAGACATAGTTCGTGTCTCTCTGTATTTTAATAGGAAAAGTTCATGTATTTTAGAATCCATGAAATTAGACCTTCCCTGGTCTATCTTGCTGAAATTCATCACTTATGGAGAGATAGTTTTAAAAAGAGACATTTGGTACCATGAGCTAGCTTAATAAATAAAGGAGCTTGCCTCCAAGCTTCACAGCCTGAGTTTGAACTTGGGGACCCACACTTTAGGAGGAGAGCTGACTCCTGCAAGTTGCCATCTGACTTCCACATGCGTGCTATAGCATGCCTCCCTCAAATAAATAAATAAACCTTTAAAAAATAAGCTATGTTAAAACCAGCTCTTTGTTACTTAGAAAGGAAGAATAGCTTGGTTTCATTGATAAATACTGGTCATTCAGTATGAATTCTAATTTCCTTGTGAAGAACCAGACAAAAGTGTACACGGTCACTTTGCACACTTGCCGTGTGCAAAACTTATCATATTTGCATTGGCTCAGGAGCTTGCGTCCCTCTTGTCTAGGATGGATGCTTTAAAAACAGCTCTTGCCAGTTTGTCTTTCTAGTAGAAAGCACTTCTGTACTGGAGCAGGGTGGGAGCTGCTCACAGGACCCTGAGATGTTAGTGCTTCAATAAACGTGGCAGGGAGAGAAACGACTCCTCAAAGTGTTCCTGAGTTGGTAACGGAGATGGAATAAGGAACAGACCAAAACCAAAATCTTCCTTTTGGGCAGTGATACCTTGAAAGATTTAATGGCTACTAGAAAGAGAGAGAGAGAGAGAGAGAGAGAGAGAGAGAGAGAGAGACAGAGACAGAGACAGAGACAGAGACAGAGACAGAGACAGAGAATGTGATAAGAAAGAGAAAGATGTATGAACACTAAACTATGGAATAATGGAATATATATTGATATTTGTTGGTTTTAATTTATGTCTTGTGAAGGAAGTAGCCCTTTCTCATGTTTTCCCAGAAGTGTTTTTGTTTTATTTTCTTAAGCATTAAAAGACAAATACCTTCCAACTGTATCTCTTGTGTAGACTGAGAGCTAAATTTGCTTGCCCTCTCATTCTGATCTTCTGAATTGTTTCAAGAGGTGATTCCTCCCTATCTAAAGTGGAAGAGGTTCATTTGGGAAGGAATTTGCTATGAGAATTGACAGGTTCTGTATATGAGATTGAATTTATGCCTAATACATTGTTTTTAAAACTTTCGTTGGACAGCTGTTACCATGTTCCCACCTTACTATCTAATCTGTATATGAGATGACAATGTCTGTGCACTGCAGAGTGTGCCTTCTCTTCTCGCTACTCCACAGTGGCTTCTGTGGAGATAGACCTCTGTGCCACCCAAAATATTCCCAGTCCAGGGAAAAGAGGAATTGATTTTTTTTTTTACAGTTCTCAAACCTAAAACACACTTAAGAAATGACAGTTGTCTTTTTCATGAGCACTAATTCTAAGACCCCAAAGATGCTATAGCTACAGTTGCTCAGTTGCCTCTATAAAATGGCATAGTACTTGCATACGACCTGCACATAGACTCTCATGCTTGAATCCACCTCTAAAGTGCTTAGAATATTGAACGCAGTGCAGGTGCTAAGTAAATAGCTGTGTTATATTGTTCAGGGATAGACAAGAAAAGCAGTCCATATTAATTACTGAAACAGTCTCCCAAAACCCCCAAATATTTTTACTCAATGGTTAGAGAAATTCACTGAATTAGAAGCATAGAAATGGGGGGGGGAGTCAACTATGTATACATGGCACACTTAGTAAATAAATGCCTACATACTATGTATAATGCAGATCTCTACTTGAATTTCATTCCTTTTTGGACTTTTTTCTTTACTATTTGGACTACATTTGTGGAAGATACTGTAGCTTGAACAAGTAACTGTCAGAGACAGTGTCCATCAGACCCTCCAGGGCTTGTGACTGCTGAGCTTTACAAACGTTCTGAGAATAGTACATCTGGCATGGGGTCTGAGAATTTACATTTACTTAATGGTTTGTTTGTCTATCTATCTATTATTTTTAAGTTAAAATATAATTATATCATCTCCTCTTTTCCTCGCTCCAACCCCATATACTCCCTTCATTGTGTGTGTTCATGTGGGTTCCACATAAGCCAGAAGATGTTAGAGCCTCTGGAACTGTAGTTACAGGCCCTTGTGAACTGCCCAGTCGGATGCTGGGAACTGAACTCAGGTCCTCTGGAAAAGTAGTCAGTCTACCCTCTTAACTATAGAGTCATCTGTCGAGTTGCACGAGAATTTACACTTTAACAGGCAGTCACGTGCTGCTGCAGCTGTAGGCGTGGCGTCATGCCTTCAGAACCATCAACACAAGCAAGTTAAACGCTTAGAAAATGAGCATACTTCATTATCTTCCTTTGGCTTATCAGGACTGAAAGAGCAGGTGTTGGTTAGCAGAAATACACCTGCCAGATGGAGACTGTTAGCAGGCCCCTCCTCATGTTCTCTACTTCAGTTATAAAGGGAAGTAGGCTTCACTTTCGGATGGTGTCCTGTCCTTTCGGAGTGCTTTGTCACGATTTCAGAAACAGGCATCAAGATGTTGAAATGAGGGCCTGCTTTGAGTGACCTGGGCAAAACACACCTCCGTCATCTCTGCATCAAAGCATAGCAGCTACCAATTCCTAACCCAGGAGTGGGCACAGTGTTTTGCACTCAGCTTGTCACCCCTCTGAGGCCTGTCTGTTCTGTTCTCTAAAGATGGCTCAGAGGTTAAGAGCATTGCCTGCTCTTCCAAAGGTCCTGAGTTCAATTCCCAGCAACCACATGGTGGCTCACAACTATCTGTAATGGGTTCTGTGCCCTCTTCTGGCCTGCAGGCATACACACAGACAGAATATTGTATACATAATAAATAAATAAATAAATAAATAAATTTTAAAAAATAAAAAAAATAAAGAGCTTGTGAGATAGTTCAGAACAGTAGTCTCTTTAACTTGGTAGTTTATTGAGAGACAGCAGATTCCTGTTAATCATAATTATTGATGGCAAGTAGCTATAGAACTTCTTCATGCATCTACATATGTGACCAAACATATAACTCATTAATAAACATTCTGATAGAGGTGGGTCATATAATTCTGTACCATAAGTGTCATCCTTAGTGAAAATTTCCAACTGAAACATAAAAGTCTAATAGAGGGTTGCAAGTTAGGCTTCTTTGAAACAAACATGCTTCATACATTCAATAAATACTGTATATCTACTTAATTCTTGCTTGGTAAGTGCCTTTGGATGCAGCCATAACTTGTCTCCAAGGAACTCGTGGATAACTGTGTAATTTTCTCATCATTTGAAATACTTGCACTTTCTCTGGCTGTTGCTTAAGTGACCCTGAGTATCGCTATGTATTCTTTTGTTTATATAATACATCTAGTCTAGAAAAATGTATATTACCTTCAAAAATTAATAACTGTGTAGCACGAATTCTAGTTGGTTAATAATAAAAATTCAGAGTCAAATATTAGGTGGTGAAAGCTGAGAGATCAGAGAAGCAGAGTGGCCATCCACTAGAGAGTTCTCACCTCTACCAGTGTTCAGACCGAAAGGGTGATCCTGTCCTCAGATGCATCCTCAGACTGACTGCCTAGACCACACTGCTCCTCAGACTGCACTGAGCTCCTGTCTCCTCCTCCCTAGTTCTGGGATTAAAGGTCTGGGATCCCAAGTGCTGGGATCACCTTTGTGTGAGCTCTGTTTCTCTTTTAGCCAGATTCAATCTTGTATAACCCAGGGTGGCCATGAACTAACAGAGACCCCTCTGCCTCTTGTGTCCCCGACTCCTGGGACTAAAGTGCCACCACTTCCTGGCTTCTGGTGGCTTAGCTCTGCACTCTGATCTTCAGACAAGCTTTCTTTGTTAAAACACAAACAAAATATCACTGCACAGCTGGCTTCCTTTCTTCATTTCAAGTCCTCTGACAGTCCCTGTTGAGGGTGTAGTAGTGTTCCTACTGTTAGCCTCCGGAACATTAGGTGTAGTAATTGATGAAAATACAGCACCGCCAAGGACCACTGAACTGGGTAATGAGGATAGCAGAGCCCTGCATGGCTGTCACCATAGGACCTACCTAATCTCTGTCACCTCATTAGTGTGGTTATTAAACACTTCCCTTTCCTTCCCAATAACTCTGACTTCAATTTTTATTTATTTTAATTTTCTCTCTAATTTTTACTTGTCTCTAATGTTTATTTTGATTTTCTTTCAATGTCTTAATTTTTTTAAGTGTGTATGTGTTGGGGGGTGTGTGCCACAATAAGAGCACATAGGTCATGGGACAACTTGGACAGCGGCTTCTGCCCTTTCAGCATGTGCATCTCTGGATAGTGAGTCATTAAGTGTGCAGGCAGGTGTCTCTACCCTCTCCGCTGTCTTACTGGCCATTGTTGTGATTTTCTGAGTGGTCTGGTTACATAGCCCAGGCTGACTTTGAACTCGCCATCTCTCTGCTTGAGTTTCCCAAGCTGGCATTACAGGTGTGCCACCACATCTGCTCTACCCATTATTGTGAGCACAGATGCATTGTTCTTCCCATGCAGTAGATTGTGGGTTTCACTGTGTCGTTCTACTCCGGCAACTCAGAAATACCTCTCCTATGCCGAACGTTTGTGTTTGCGTTTTTACTATTAGTGCTTTGGTTTACACCTTCGGTTGTGTCTATCACAGCATTGTAAAAATCTATTCGCAACAGGTATTTCCTGAGTTAAACTGCTTATCTTCTGCCTTCTAAATCAGATTTTGTCTTTTGTATATACTTTAAGATGTAATTCTTTTTTATTTAGTTCACAAATGGATTCCCAATCATATATGAGAGCTTAGGCTTTTTTATTTGTTTGGCTTTTTTTTGTTTGTTTGCTTTTGGTTTCTCAAGACAGGGTTTCATTGTGTAACAGCCTTGGCTGCCCTAGAACTTTGTAGACCAGGCTGGCCTCAAACTCAGAGATCCTCCTGCCTCTGCCCCCGAGTGCTGGGATTAAAGGCGTGCGCCATCACTACCTAGCTGAAACATAGATTTTGTAGTTTTGTAGTTCTTCCATGACATTTTATAGTCAACATACGTGCCTCATGTGTAGCCATGTTCTTAATCTTAGTGTCAGCAAAAATCAGTGTAATATCAATGTCGTTCAGAATAAAAGCAACAACAAAACATCTCCAGGAGCAATACTCTGTACAGATATGAAAACTAGTCACTCTTGATTATGAGGATATCATGGTGAATATTTTGACACTTATGCTGACTCTGCTTTCTCCTGTTTTTCATAGAATTAACGTACATATGGGCCTTAATAGATGTCTTAGTGCTTATATATATATAAGAAAAAAATATATATGAATTTTTTTCTTTATTTATCAGATTTTTTTAAGAAGCCACTAAACCACAGAAAATATTTTTATTGCAAGATAATAAGTGTTAAGTCCTAATTATAGAGTCGAGTGTTACAGAGTACCTGTACTGGGCTGACAAAATGACTTCGGGGATAAAAGTGCTTGCTACCAAGCCTGATGCCCCAAGTTCACTGCCCAGAATCTATATAGTAAAAAGAGAGAAGCAATTTCCACAGGTTGTCTTTTTCATACCATACCGTGTGTGTGTGCATGTGTATATATAAACACTAAGTAAATGGATAAGTGTAAACACCTCATGCCTGTGCTTGTGAAAGGAAGGACGTGTTGGTGGCAGTGAGGTGAGTTTGGAGACCTCGGTCGTCATTCAGACAAGTGGTGTCAAGGGCTCAAAGAGAAGCAGCAGGGAACAATTGAGTAGTTAGTTTCTCTATGAGTTCTGCAGCTGGAGTCGATAGGAATAGGTGCCTGGTAAGATGTCAGAAAGGTGAGATACGGATTAGAGACGCACACTTGCTCTATCTGGGAACTGTCTTATACCACCGTTCATCCCTCTCTTTCCGTGCTCACCCCTGCACCTTCATTCTCTCTATCTCTTGAAGTTCCAACTCGTAGTCTGCCTTTCAGAAGACACTTTTAGGTGCTTTTTCTCTAACTGTGGAAAGGGCCGAACTCTCAGAATAAAAAAGATGGGGTCCAGATGTCATGTTGACAAGGACTGTTTACTGCCTACTATGCCTCTTTCTTGTATGTCTTCTCCATCTGCCTCAGTAGTTAGTACCTTACACAATTATTGGGTGGATGACTTTCGGTTGAGGTTTTTGTTTTCCTTTCTTTTTACTTTAACCGTACATGATCCAGTACCAAGTCAGATGGGCTGCTTTTTGTCTAGATTATCTCAGCTGAAAGCAGAGCAGATCTGTATTTTCCCTAGGATTTCCGAGAAAATAGCTGATGTTGTAGTTTTCAAACTTAGCCTTGAAGCAGAAACCTTGTCAGATTTGAACCTCTCATGTTCTCAGAAGCATGGTTGTAGCACACAGGTCTAAGACAGCCCAGTGTCCAGGCTTCTGCAGCTCAGTTCTTGTCGCTGAGATTCGCTCCAGCTCTTTTACAGTTTACTGATAATGGCAAGTCCTTTGTTGTGAAATGCAGAGTGCTGGTCCCCTGTGTTCTTTAGGCCCTGACATCTCAGTGGTGAGAGTGTTTGCGTAGTGTTGTAGCGCTCAATGGCGAAGTTCGCACCCTTGCCACAGGAGTGACTGCAGTTATAAACCAGGGCCCTAGGAGGCCGTGCCTGTGAGGTTCCTCCAGTGTCCCCATTGGGTGGCACTTCAGTCCTTCACAGAGAACACTCGCTTACGTTAGATGTGACTAGCATCTCAAGTCCCTTTTCAAGGACTCATCATTCTGTCTTTGAATGAAGAATTCCTTGCTTCCATGATTTTGTTCCCATATTTCTTAAAATATCAATGCCTCTTAAATATTTATACAGAAATGGAAATACACTTTTCTATGAAGGTTTTAATGAAATAATACATGTTTCAGGTTTGATGAGAGGTGACAAACTCCATTTAAAATGTATAGTTGAACTTGTCCATTGTAAATGTAACTTACTAAGAGTAGTTTTACATATTTGGTACTTTTTGTACATAGCCAATAAAGGAAGCAGCTGGATCCTGTCAGGACACAGCAGTTTATATAATCATCATGTTTATATAATCATCATGTACACCATAAGTCATATACTGAGCCCTAGCAGTATATAAGGCATGACTAGGCACTCAGTAGGCCCTTGGGTCTTCAGTCCTTAGAACTGTGTTCATTGCACTTACCATGCTGACGTTCTTGTCTAAGTCAGAGGTTATCTGCCTTGTCGATGACCAGGCAGCGAACCAGAACCACTGTCGTGTGTCCAGAGCCTTTGTCAGCTCTGTCAAATCTCAGCTTTTTCATGATGACCAGACATCTATTTGCTTATCATTTTTAAAATGTGCCCAGAGTATTGGCTGGCACAGAGTAGGTGATCTGTATTCACTATTTGTTGAATGAATTTGCTGCTCGTAGGCCAGCAGCTATAACAACCCCTCTGCATAGTTAAGACCTCTCCCATGAAGTTAGAATCCTATCTTAGAATTCAAAATGTATTTTTCAGAGAGAGATCTTATTATGCAGGGTAGGAAGATGCATGACTGACTATTTGGAGCAACAGGGTCTTTGTACATGGTCTTGTGAACACGGCTGCTACAGAGCAGCCTGGCTTCTCTCCGAGGATGCTTTGTTTGGATAACTCTCAAATGAACTTTGAGAATAAAGCTTCTTGATAGGTAAATTGGCATCTGTAGCATATTAGGGACATGATGAGCCATCCTTTTAGGACTGAGAGGTGCTATAGTGACTGTTAAGGGTTTTAAAAGACTTCGGTATACAGAGCCTGAGAAGTATTAGCCACTCTAGAGAAGAAGGGAGGGATGCCCTGAGAACCCCACCTTTTCTTGCTTCCTTCCTGTCTGCCTCCTGGCACCTCTTGCCACAGCTTCTGTAACGGAAGTGAGAAGGAAGCTTCACTGCAGGAAATAGCATCTCCAGTGCCCACTTGAGGCCGCCTCCTCATTTTTCACAGAAGAGCACAAGGCTTGGGAAAGTAAAATGACTTTCTCATCTGTGACAGGTTACTAGACGTGGCTTTCCAGTGTCTGTACATTCCTGGTTTCTTGCAAGTTGTATCAAACTTTTTAAATTGAATTAAATCATTCTATGACCTTAGCTTTGTGTGTGTTTCGATGGTGTTGGTAGTTTTCCTGCACAGCCGGCAGGTTACAGAGCCAGCCTCCAGTTCTCACCTGTTCTCCACACAAGCTCTAGGACCAGGCTGCAGTGGACAGGTATAGCTAGTCCAGTCCAGAAACTCTTAGTTGTAGTGATAGGGAGCTGAGGTGGACCCCCTGGGGGAGACCGAGATTTGGGGGAACTCATTGTTGAAGTTGGACATGACAGACAGAGATACGCTTGTTAAACTGGGAGAGTGTATGCTGTGATCAGCAGCACGTGCGAGTATGCGATTTGTGGATTTTGTTGAGCTAAGACAGTGAATAAGGACATTCATTCCCTCAGACCTAAGTTTGTGTATTTACTTATTTTTAGCTGTGTGACCTTAGGCAAGTCAGCTGATCTTCCTAAGGCTTGGTTGTCTCATCAGTGAAGCAGAATACTACACTTTTGACACCTCTTGTGAGTGCTGAGAGCTATTTTTATTTCTGTGTGTTTTTTTTTAAGATTGATTTTTTTTAAGTTTCTAATTATCTATATGGGAGTGGTAATGTTCACATGAGTCAGGTGCCCATGGAGGCCAGAGGGGTCAGATCTCCCCGGAGCTGGTAGAGGTGATGACGAGCTACATAGCCTTGGGTCCCTACAAGTGTGGTGCTAGCGCTTAGCTGCTGAGCCCACCCTCTCTCAGCCTGGGCCTGCTCTTCAGTCCTGTTTCAGGGCTCTTGTCCTAGGAAATAATTACATTTCTTTTATCATTAAGTAACATTTTGTTTTTCTAGTTGTACAAGTTTGGAGAAACAGTTTCTGTTGTTTTTTGGACGGACACTTGGAGACCAGAAAGCTTCTTTGACAAAGTGAAGAAGAACAGACAAAACGGCATGCACACGCTGTGTTTACTTGGTAAGCATCAGGAAGCTCCCTTTTTCTCATGCTGTGGAGTTGTCAGACCTCTCTTGCTTTCATTTTGTGATAGAATTAAAATGGTTCTGCGAATAACTAGGTAGAGAAAAGAAACAAAGCAAAGCAAAATGACATAGGCTAGTCACTATATGCACACAGCTCTTTCCCATACTCTCAGCACCAAACACCACACAGATCCTGTGTTCCTGCTGAGACTTGCTGTTCCCTCGTAGAGCCTCCGGATCCTTCCCAAGACTCTGTATTTACAAATCTGTCCATCATCACTGCAGTTCAGCAGACGTGGTGAGCATTTATCATTGTCACCAACCATTCTACATCTCCTAGGATATTCTCTGTCCAAATCACAAAATGATGCTTCTCTTATTTTGTTAAAATCTCTTTCGCAGATGATGTTGAATATCGAGTAGTTTCCCAGTACCATTTAATTGTTAACAGAATAAAATACAGATGACCTATTATTTCCAGCTCCCTTCGTTGTACTATCTTGCCCAAGTTTTATTTCCCGTTTAACACAGAAACAAGGGCTAGGACTTCTTTGTGCAGCAAGGTACTAGCACTGAGTGTCAGACGGACATGGGATCTGCGTAGACCCCCGAGATTTAACAAGTCCCATGTCTAAGAGCCTCTTCTAGTCTTACATGGTATGGAAAGGAATACTGGGATCAAATTTTCACTTTCCCCTTGATGACCAGAGCACAACTGACATTTTAAATTAACCGTGAAATGACACTAGAATTGGAACCAGAAAACAAAATCTCAGTGTCTCTGCTTACCAGATAGAAACTATTGAGAAATAACTCTTAGCCTTTGTCTTCAGAGCAAATAAGAATAAGCCCCCTGCCTCATGGGACTGGTTAGAGTAAGTAGTACTTCTCAAGCTAGTTGTAGTGATTTATTTTAGATATTTTGTATGTGTATGTGTGTGTATATATATATATGCATATACATGCTGTAGCACTTCTGTTTTCACATGTTTTCACCAGGTTTTAGAGGAAAACTTGTGGTAATTCTCTCTTTACGCCATGAGGTCCTATGCATCAAATTCAGGTCATCCAAGTAATCATTAAGTATGTTTATTTGCTTAGCCATTTCACCAGCCCCCAAACCAAAGGCCGATCATTTTTGGCTTTTGCTGTGGTGGCAGTTGAATAAGAATGGTCCCATGGGGCTCATGCTTTTGAATGCTTTGTTACCAGGCAGTGGAACTTTTGAAAGGATTAGAAGGACTAGGTATGAACTTGTTGGTGTGGCTGTGTCCTTACTGGAGGAAGTGTGTCACTGAGGGGTGGGCTTTGAGCTTTCAATAGACCCTGCTAGGCTCAATGTCTCTTCTTCCTCTTGCCTATCGATCAGCATGTAGAACTTTTGGTTATCTCTTTAGCTCTGTGTCAGCTTGCCTGACTGCCATACTCCCCACAGTGAGGATAGTGGACTAAGCCTCTGACATTGTAAGCAAGCCCCAATTAAATGCTTTCTTTTATAAGAGTTGGTCATGGTGTTTCTTCAAAGCAATAGAACAATGACTAAGACAGTTGTTGTTTATCTTACTTTGTTATTTATGTGTGGAGTGTAGGGTGTCAGGCTCTCAAATCCTCAAAGTATAGATCTCATCATTTAAATTAATATGTAGTTGTTGAATGCCTGCTATGGGCCAGCCCCTTTAGGGACTAGGGAGAAAGAAGCATGGTCGGAAACTACAGATAATTTATAATTTATTTAGAGACAAGGTTAATATATGTGCTATAGTAAGAAGTTAGTGTACAACATTAGTTACATAGATATTCCTAAGTACAAAGCATTAGGGTAGAAAGCAAAGGCTATATGAAATAATTGGAACTTACTGCTTAAACACAGTTTCAGATGGGTAGGAGTAGGTTATAGGAGGCCATGTCTATATAGTCAGTACACATCTGTGCTTTACATGATTTACAGTAGACAGGCTACATTTTACAAGTTCAAGGTGAATGGATTAAAGGAAATGTTACCGTAAGTATTCAAGATACTTTTTAAAGTAAAATATGACTTTTATTGCTAATTGTATTGGAGGCCGTAGTTTCAATAACATTCATTTTTGTATGTGCCAGACAAGTAGAGCTAATTAAATAATGATCATTATTTCAGATTTGAGAAATACTTAAATATTGAGTGCCACACAGACATTGAAAACCAGATGTAAGATTAATCATTGTTGTAATTCCTAAGTAAACGTTGTAGAATTGGTCAATAAGAGAAGCTTTTCTATCACTTCACAAAGCTGTAGAAGTCTGTCAGAGGCTCTTCAGTTGTACCATATTTATTTTATAAAAACAAACTTTGGCTGAACCATTCATTTTGCCTGTAAAACAGGAAGCAGCTGTGGCCCTTGTGTGAAGTCCTGTAAGGACACAGAGCCAGTCTGCTTTTCACGGATGCCCAAGCGGGTCAGCTAAGCACCAGTGGCAGTGCAACGCGAAGGACCCAGTCTTTGCCATGGTGCACTGTCAGGCTTCACGAGCATGCGCAGAGATTATATGCCACTCCCTGAGGAGCCCGGGGCTCCGAATAATTCATTATTACTGGATGTCTTACCACTGTAAGAAAGCAAACACTTCTTTTCAAAACATGCTAAGAATCCTTTTCAGGCGGTAGCGTTGCACATGCCTTTAATCCCAGCACTAACTTGGGAGACAGACGCGGGTGAATTTCTGTGAGTTCAAGGCCAGCCGGGTCTGCAGAGCGAGTTCCAGGACAGCAAGTACTACACATACAGAAACCCTGTCTCAAAAAAACAACATCAACAACAAAAACTAAACAGCGAGACTTCTTTTTTTTTTAGCTTAAGTTTTATCCTTTGAGGCTTTTATAGGATGATGCCTGAAAATAAGTAAGGGTTGGAGTGCAAGCAGACCTTTCAGATGAGGCTGTGCAATTTCCAGGTAAAAAAATTAAAAGATTCTGATCAGCTAAGTAGTACACATGCCAACACCATCTAATACTTTCCCTTATCACCTTTTCCAGCAGGAAACTAGATCCCTGCAGAGGAGTGTCAGGGCCAAACTCCAGTTTGCTTTTCACAGCAACAGGCTTCCGCTCCTCTAACCCCGATAGGAAAATAGTCACACGCAAGTGTGAGCAGAGACACCACAAACTCAGATCAGCATTTAGGGGCATCTGGGAAGATTTCCAAAAATGTCCATGTTCCTAGTGGAAGCTGGAGGACTTGGGGTAACTAGGTTAAAAGAGATGTTCTCTGCTCCCTACAGATATCAAAGTGAAGGAGCAGTCTCTGGAGAATCTCATCAGGTGCGTCCGTGTTTCAGTTCTCTGACCAGGACCATAGGTGCTCCAGTGAGCCGAGTCGAGGATGGAGGAAGATGAGCTCTCAGCATAGTGATGCAGTAAATATTTGACTCCTGCAGAACATAGAGCAGGGTGCTCAGTGAAGGTAGAAGCAGAATTCATAGATCCAACCCTGAGAGCAGCAGTGGGCGTTAAAGGTCACCCCGAAATATGGGTGGAGTGAATGAATGTTTTGGGAGTTCAGAACCTTGGGCGTACATCTGACATCAGCCTCAGGCTGCTGCTGCTATGGAGTCACTTCCACCCTGTGTGTGTGTGGGATCAGGGGGGATCACTTCTCTCATGTGTTAGGATAGGGATAGGGGCAGAGGGGTTGTCTCTCTCCTGTGTGTGATGATAGGAATGGAGGGGTGGGGGCTGTCACATCTCCCGTGTGTGAGGATGGGGTGGAGGGAAGAGGGGTGTTGTTTCTCCCTTTTATGGGGACGGAGGGTGGGATTGCTTCTCCCATGTGTGACATTGGGTGGGGGGCAGGAGGTGTGGCTTCTTCTGTGTGTTCCATACAGCAGTTCCTACCACGCATGGTAATAAGCACTCAAAATGTGGCTAACGAAGATGAAGAACTGAACATTAAACTAACAATTATAAAACCTTTAGGTTGTTTGAGACGACTTTAATATGTAAATCTGTTTTTTAAATATATTTTTATTTGTTGGAAATTTCATACATGTTTACAATGTATTTTAGTTATGTCCTCACTTCAACTTATCGTTATAAATCTATTTTTATGACCATACATTTTATATTCATATTAAATATTTCTAATTAAGGCTTAACAAATGTGCTGAAAATGCTTATCAGATTTCAAAGACTTGGTATAAAAACAATTTTTAAACGTATTCAAATATAATATTATGGGGATATTGGGTTGAATATATTTACATGCTATTGAAACTAATTTTGTCTCTGTAACTTGTTACTGTAATGTCTGCACTGTGCTGTGCTTCTGCTGGACAGCATTGACTGGAGAAACTGTAGATGAGTAAGGGATCGGTGCAGACTGCTAGTTTCAGAAGCTCGTCTTTTGTGATGATCATTGGGTAAACTCGCCAGACTATCGAGGCATGCAGAAATAAACATGTTACTGTCAAAGATTTTCAGACCTTGACAGTTTTCTTAGAGGAAGAAGTAAAAAAGATATAGAAACGTATTAATAAAAAATGGCTAGTGTGCATTAGGCCCTAGGTTCAGTCTCCAGCACCATGAAAATAAAAGCAAGTGTGGACCACAGTGACACAGTTGGAATTACATCTGCTAAGGCATCGCTTTGATTTAGTTAGACATGTGTCTTTATCGGAATGTCAGTCCTGCTGTCATTTCAGTGTCACTGAGGACAATAGAAAGAAAGCTTGAGAAACTCAGGCACTGCACCCTTGTTTACAAACCATGGTTTATCCAGAAGTGGGTACCGTGTGAAAACATGAGACTGTGGGCTGTGGTGCTCGAGTGTGTCTGGGGAGGAACTGTGGATGGATTTCACAGGAAGGAACAATGATGTCTAGTTTTATGCTTACAGGGGAAGAAAGATCTATGAACCTCCTCGATACATGAGTGTGAACCAGGCAGCCCAGCAGCTTCTAGAAATTGTTCACAATCAGAGAGCACGCGGGGAAGAACCAGGTACTTTGGAGCCTCTTGGGTTGTTTCTCTACAGATAGATATGTCACTACATATCTGACACACCCACACCACACAGCAGGGTCAGTGTTTTTGCTGTGTTATGTAGGTCTCGTTTTTTTTTCTAATTTTAAACCCCACAGGATTCAAGTTATATTAAAAGAAAAATAATTGAGTTCTTTACAGGAAAATTGTCATAACTTAAATTTTTAAAAATGAAGACTTTTAGCCAGGTGGTGGTGGCACATGACTTTAGGCGTACCTCTGTGAGTTCAAGGCTAGCCTGGTCTACATAGCTAGCTCTAGAACAGCCACAACTGCACAGAAAAACCCTGTCTTAAGCAAACAAACAAAACAAAAAAGACTTTATGTATAATATGTATATATATATTAATATATTATTTTACTTATAATCAGATTTTATGTTGACCTGATAATATATAAATGATAAAATAGAGTGCTACCATACAGGTTCTTATCAATAAGATCTACTTTACAAAAATACATTTATTCTGCTTCATCTCCTGAACACTGAAATATAGAATAGTTTTCTTTAGGTTAAGGACAAGTGTTTTTATCTTACACTCCTAATAGGTAGACAAGAGTGTGTGCTATACAGTAAAGTGTAGTCAATAAATGTTTGCTGAGAACTTTTTAAATATACCTGTCATATTCTGTTATAGGCACTGTTTTTTCCTGACCTTTAGTAAAACATGCATTAAGGCATTTTTGAGTGATAATTTATATTTTTAAATTTTTGTTACAATCATGTACTTATTCTTTATGTGTGTGCACACTTGCCATATGTCCGTATGGAGTTTGGAGGAAAGCTTCCAGGAGCCGCTCCTCCTCCCACCTCATGGCTCCCAGTACTCAGACTCGGACCATCAAGGCACGGTGGCAAGTGTCTTTCCCTCCTGAGCCATCCTGCTGACCCAGTCACTGCACGGTTACCCCTTCTAGTGGCACTGAGTTCCTCACGTGCCCTCTTTGCCTTGTATAAATCCTTGTCCATTTCTTTTTAAGTCACTTTTCAGGGAAGAAACTTTCTCAACTACAGGATAAAGCAGTAAGAAGTCAGGTCATCAGCTGTACACTAAAGTGCATGATTATGAAAAGAGAACTGTGGATCTTGATTCCTTGACTCTGAAATTAAAAGCCTAAGTATCCAGGAATGGCTATTATTTGTTGTGGACTTTAGAGTTTATTACGTACTCTTGTACTCATGTATTACCTCACACAACTACCACTTAAAAGATAAAACACTTTTTAAAATTAAAAAAAAAACTAGTTTGTTCTGTTACTAATTAGATGACCGAGGAGAAATTCTCATCTGTGAATTTTTCTCAATCCCCTAATTTTTCCAGTGACTTGGTCAGTATAAATGTATATCAAGAATTTATGTGTTGGGGCAGGAGGATGATTCGCTCCTTAGGAGCAGTTCCTGTTCTTAATGGATATGGTGGTTTGAAAGAAAATGGCCACCAAAGGGAGTGGAACTATTAGGATGCATGGCTTTGTTGAGGAAGTGTGTCACTGGAAGTGGGCTTTGAGTTCTCATATGCTCAAGATATTGCCCAGTATCTCAGACCACTTCCTATTACCTGCAGGATGTAGGACTCTCATTTATTTTTCCAGCACCATGCTTGCCTGTACACCACCTTGTCCTGTCATGATGATAATGGACTAAACCTCTGAACTTTAAGCGAGCTACTCCAATTAAATGTTTTCCTTTATAAGGGTTGCTGTAGTCATGATGTCTCTTCACAGCAATAGAAACCCTAATTAAGACAAGGAGGATCCAAATTGGGTTCCCAGCACCCACCTTCAGCGACTCATAATCACATGTAGTTTCAGCTTCAGGGAATCCAACACTCTCTTCTGCCTCCACGAATACCTACGTGCACATACATATACACATGCACACACACCAATACACAAAGAAATAGAAATAAAAAGAAATCTTTATGCGTCTTTATAAAATATGTGAATCATAAAGATGCTCACTCAGAGCCTGTTTTAAGACAAATGTGCTATCATTATGTGTAGTATAAATACAGCTATTTGTTTTTCAAGTTGTTAAAACATAAGATTGTGTAAACCTTTGGAGTTCTGTGGTGCGTGACTAGAGAGGTTTCGGGTGTTTAGGGCATTTTTCAATGGACTTGTAGTACAAATATTTTTGAATATTGAACAAGGTGAAGCATTGCCCAATTGATCTGCAGCATCTCTGTCTCTCCCTCCCCTGCCCCCCATTTTAAACAGCGATCACTGAGGAGACACTCTGTGTTGGCTTAGCCAGAGTTGGCGCTGAAGACCAGAAAATTGCAGCAGGCACTTTACAGCAAATGTGCACAGTGGACTTGGGAGAACCATTGCATTCTTTGGTCATCACGGGAGGCACCCTGCACCCACTGGAGATGGAAATGCTAAATCTTTTCTCCATACCGGAATCCCAAAGTATCAATGGTCTCTGAACATGGACATTTCTGTTGTCTCACATTAATTTCAGTTAGATTGTATATGTGATATGGATATGACAATGGCATGGTCTGTTTTTTATCTGGAAAGTGTAACAGAAGTGACCAAGAGGAAGCAAGTTGAGCCAACAGCGTTTGGTTCCCTGCAGTTTTCCCCTATTTCATCACCATGCTGTTGCAGTACCCGTTGGCTCCTTGTCAGGGGCAGACCAAGCTGGGGAAGAATGGCTGGACATCTGAAGATGACCTCAAAGAGTAGCTTTGAGGAAACTGGAATCTGAATCACATAAACCCTATTTTTAAGGGATAAAGAAGCACAGAGTAGCAAGTAAAGCAAATAAAAGATTGCCAACTGTTCATTTGTTGTTTTATAATCTCCTTTATAAAAAGGTAGCTGTTGGAAACTCAGAACACACCCTAGTTGGTAAAGTGCTTCTGCGCAAACATTGAGAGCCAGAATCCCCAGCACTCACATGAGAAGCCCAGCGTGGCCGTGGACAGCTGTAACCCTTGCGCTAGGTGCAGGGTACCTTACATCAGTTCTATCTTGTTTTCTTCAGAGATGGTAAACTAATGGTTCTGGGTTTCGTAGTTGAATAATTCACACCCTCCAGTTCCAACTGTTACAGTGCATGTTTGTTGAAAGGTACTGGGAGTCACAGAGCAGGTTGAGAATTCTGCCTATGTGCCTTTTTCTGCCGAGGCATTCCCAGACTTCAGTTCAGCAAAGATAGTGTTGGACTGGGATGAGATGGTTAGTCGGTGGAACTGTGGGCTCCAAAGGGAGCTAGAAACTGAAGCAAATTCAGGTGCTCTATAGTAAATGATCGGTGTGTCCTGAATTCTCAGCTCACTCCTTATTGTTTGTATGTATCGGAAGATCCAAGGATCCAGGTGCAAAGCCAGGCCAAGGGCCCAAAGAAACAGACATTGCTCTCTATTGCAAGAGAAGACAGCTTCAGGTTTGAATTCTGACAAGTTAAAGGGGCGTGATAAATATGCAGACTTTCTTATCAGAAGCCCAGAATGGCCCTGTACTAGTAAAGACCAGGCTTGGGACTAAACTAAGGACAAAGCGTTTCATATGATGTAAAGTTAGGCCTACATGCGATAAAGGTGACTAGAAAGTAGTTTAATGCCTGGTAGAACAAAGCTTAAGAAGGTTCAGAATATGGTGAAAAAAAATAGTGTAATATCAACAATGACTATAGTTCACAACATGAAGCATGGCTTTATGATTAGAAAAGAGGAATGCTGGGTTAAGAGGTCAGCATAGTCTAGACTTTAGAATTAGTAGATATAAAAGACGGGCACTTTAGAACTGGGCATGGATGAGAGACAAAGGTGCATGTAATGGATGAATATAATGAGTACTGTCATCCAAGAGATAGAAACCAAAAAGGAAGAACCAAATTGGGCAAAAAGAGGAAGAGACATTGTCCATTCTAAGGAAGAAGACTGAAGGGGAAAGATCATCAGAATCATCATATAGGGGCTATATCAAGTAGTTTCTATAATTTCTACACTTTGTGTGAAGAAAAGAGACTGTGTGCTTGTACACACGAATACACACACACACACACACACACGAGTGTGTCAATGCTTGCTTGGAGACGAGAGGACTATTTGTGGAAGTGGCTTATAACCAATGAACTCAGGTTATTAGGTTTGACAACAAGCACTTTTACTTGCTGAGCCATCTCATCAGCTCCAGTATCAAGCAGTTTTGAAAAGCATGTAAGTAGATTCTCAAAAAGAAAAAAGCATGTAGTGATATTTCATTTATATTTTAATAAATAAAGCTTGCCTGAGATCAGAAAGTAAAACAGCCCCACAATTCAGCCTTACAGACCAGGCAGTGATCATACACACACCTTTAATTCCAGTAGCCACACTTGTTTGCCATAGAAACTGGGTGGTAGTGGTTCAGGCCTTTAATCCCAGCGCTAGAGAGGAATGAATATAAGACGGGAGGAGACAGTTCTGAGATTCCTGGAGGCAGGACCGCCATTTCAGACTGAGGTAGAGGTAAGAGCCAGGGGCTGACTGTTTTGCTTTTCTGGTCTTCAGGTTGAACCCCAATATCTGTCTCTGGGTTTTTATTAACCGTGCTACAGAAGAGAAATAGAGCAGTTTTAAAAAATGGAAATGACAGCCAAAATTTCCTCAAATTCAGTGAAGATACATTGGTCAGTACATTGGTCCAATATGCTCAATGAATTATAAGCAAAATAAGTAGGAAACCCATACCTGTCAGTTAAAACTGATAAAAACCAAAATTAGTTGGGAAAGCTAACAAGGAGGATTGGGGCTCACCAAATGCAGTTTGAAATTAAAATTTAGGTTTATTTATTATTGCTCAACTTGGAAAACCTGTCTGTAATTTAACCTCAATATAAATGAAATCATAAAATGAAAACTCTTCTCACCAGTATGAAGAGAGGATTAGTGTTGCAGACTGCTGTCCTGAAATCCCAAGGTTAAAATGGAGATACAGAAAAGGTATATACATTTGGAGTTTACTTAGTTGTTTTTAACTCTTTAATGGGTCATGATGTCTTGGTGTTTGGTCTCAATTAACTTTTGATTCTGCAGTGCTAGGGCAGAGGATACTTGATTCCATGACCATGTGTCTGCTAGGCAAGTATTTCACTATGTTATTTCACCCTAATTAGTTTTAAATATATCAAAATTTGTTTCCTCTGCATATACTGGATTTTTGGGATCCAGTCTGTTTGGATACTCACCTTCCTGGACCTGGAGGGAGGGGGAAGGAACTTGAACTTCCGACAGGGCTGGAAGCCCTGACTGCTCTTAGGGATGGAGAGGGAGGAGGAGGGAGAGGGTGTGGGGAGGAGGGGCGGAAATGGAAACTTTCATAATTTAATAAACTTTGGGAAAAAAAGAATGGAGAGAGAGAGGGAGAGAGAGAGAGGATTCCACAAGCATGGTGTTCTTGAGATTCACACAAACTTCAGGTATCACGAGTGTATTCCTTTTCATTAGTTGACTAGTTGGAGTTCACTTGTATGGAGAGCCTGCGGTTTGTTTATCCACTGATCATCTAGAAGATATTCGAGTTCTACATGCTACTTTTTAGTAATAATGAGAATTGCTAAAGCATTTACATGCAGGCTTTTGTGAGGTTCTAGAATAGACACTCATGAATGGGATTTCTGGTGCCTTCTATAAGAAAGTGCCTGTTGACTAGCCTAGCAAGGTATGTTTCTGGGTGCAGTAGTGGCATGAATGTTACACAGATAAACAATGACTTTCTGGATTTAGGCCTGCTCCACAGGAAGAAAGTAGGCTGTAAATCTGCACTAAGAACTAGAGACTGGGAAACACACATACTCCATGGGTGAAGCTTTTACTATTATTTTGCTAAATGGTCAAAGTATCAAATTGCCATCTAAATAGGTATTTCTACACCCATAGACAAGTGTAACTCTCCATTCTCATCAGAGAAAAGTTCCTTAATATAGGGATTCAGTACTGGTCAAAGTGCAAAGCAAGCATATGTGGAGCACTGAACCATAAATGGGCCATCTCCTCCTCGCCAAGGCTCAGGGAACATAGAGAAAGAGGGAACACGAGAGATTCTAAGAGCCAGAGATGGGAAACAACCAGAATGAAACTGTTTTGGACATGACCACTGCACCCATGAATTTGTGGTAGCTGTGATTGTTTGCACAAGATCAAGCCAGTCAATCTTCCACCATGGATGGGGGAGGGGCATACGAGCCGCAACCCTAGTTTAAGAGCTATTGATAGTTATGGGCCACTAGGAGTGTAGTTCCTGGTGGGTTGTCGGTGCTCCAATAGGAATGACACACCCATGTGTATACAAGCAGCATGAATTGGATTGTGAGTTGTTTTTAAGAAAGATGAGTTGGAAAGGGGATGTGGGAAATATTCACAAGGAGTTGAAGGTGGATAGTGGGAGTGAAATGTGATCAAATATATTGTCCACATACATGAAATTCTGAAAAAAATACATTTTAATTGCTTGTAATAGTTGATTTTGATTACCACCCTGGTTGCATTAAGAAATACCTAGAATAGCCAGGCAGTAGTAGCACACGCCTTTAATCCCAGCTCTTGGGAGGCAGAGGCAGGTGAATCTCTGTGAGTTCGAGGCCAGCCTGGTCTACAAGCACTAGTTCCAGGACAGCTAGGGCTGTTTACACAGAGAAACCCTGTCTCCAAAAACAAAGATTAAACAAACAAGAAATGCCTAGAATATCAGTGACTCCCACTTTTGGGTGTGTCTGAGAGGGTATTTCCAGAAGGTTCAACGAGGAAGCTCTACCCTGAATATGGGCAGAACCATCCCATAGACTTGAGTTCAGGATCGAACAAAAAGAGGAAAAGGAGAAGGACTGATCCTAAATGCCAACATTTTCCTTTCTCCCCAGTCCACCAAGAAGTGAGTAACCAGCCTCATGCTGCTGCGGGCAAGGAGCTGGTTCTGCTGTAGTGCTGCTCACACCATGATGGACTGTATACCTAATCCAATGTAAACCTCTTCCCCTTACATTGCATATGCCAGCGGTGACAGGAGTGACTTCGCTCTGCTGGAATAGCTTTCAATCCGGCACTTCTGGTTTGCATTCTTACAGTACTGCATGGGAGTACTTGTTGCTTGTCTCTTGCGAGACAGCTGTGGAGTGACTGGTTCTGTCTCCTTCCCCGAACACTGTGAGCTGAAGACAAGTTGTAAGGTGGTTCAATTAAAGGTTGTTTATTTGCTGCCACCTCAAATCACGGATTCTTTAGTAAAGTGCAACTGAAACCAATCTCTGCGCGCCCGCTGGCCTTTGTTGACACGGGCAGCACAGTGTCACACCCTCTGATTTCTTCAGTTTGTGTCAAATCTCAAGAGGTAGTGTGTTTCCTTTACATTCTCTTCAACGTTACTTGTTTTCTAGCTCTGCTTTTTGTGATAATATAATCTTATCAGTACTTGCGATGAAGCCTATGAGATTTTGATGGGAAGCTGATAGGGGAGTTCAGCCAATCACATTTTGTCCGTGGGGCATGTTGCCCTAAGGCAAAAATTTACCTATAAACCTGGCGGGTGCACTTCCCACGCTCTCTCGCTTGGCTTCTGCGTTCCGGACAGACTGTTGGAATTCTGATGTAAGTCTTCCTTCTGTTTATTAAAGCTGTATATTTTGTATTAAGATAGTCTGGCGGATCATTAATTACCGATCACACCATGCCCCATCAGCAAGTCCTCCATACAGCGTGGATATTTGGGGCTTTATCCCATTTGGGATGTAATCATCTTCTTGAATCTATAGGCTTTTCTCATCAAATGTGAGAGGCATACAGCCAATCTCCAAATATTTTTTTGCACTGATTATGTTAACCTCTTTGTTTGCTCTCTGATGAATCTGATAATGAGAACAACAGTTTTTGACCCACAAGTCTCTGAGCTCTGTTCTCTTGTTGTTTCATTCTTAAATGTTTTGTGTGCTCTGAGTAAGTGATTTTCCCTGATCTGTCTTCAAGGTTATTGACTCTCTCTTCTTCTGTACTGCTACTGAGATCATTTTGTGGGCTTTTAAAATTTTGGTTACAGTCCTAAATGTCCATTTTTAAAGATTCGTTATTTTATGTGTACATGTATGACTATGTGAGTTTATGTGCACTGTGTATATGCAGGAGCTCATGGGACAAAAAAAAAAAAATTGGATCCCCTGGAACTAGAGTTCGCAAAACATTGTGACGCCATCACATGGGAACCAGTCCTGGGTCCTTTGCAAGAACAGCAGCTCTTAGCCACTGAGCGATCTCCCCAGCTCTGATCCCCAATTTTTTACATTAGCCTTTGTTGGAAGATTATTTTTGATTGTGTGATTGTGCATTTTTATAGTGGCTACTTCAAGGTCTTTATTAGGTTACTCCAGTGTTGATGCTGCGCTGCTTGGTCAACTCACCTGGAATTTAACTTGGACATTCCGAATATCATACATGAGATCCCAAGTCTCCTAAAATTCTACAGTGAAGTCAGCCTTTCTGCTCTCAGAAGCAAGCAACGTGGTGAAGGGCAGAGTGTGACTGCTAGGCTGTCTTGTCCGTACACTGGTCAAAGACACAGGTCAACCCTGTGTAGTTTGTCCTACTCAGTGTGGGAAGTTATAGCGCTTTTTGGTTTGCTGAATGGGATCATCATCAAAGCATTAATGACTTCAAAGTGATCTTTGGGGTTCATAAAGTTAATTCTAAGGTTCTCCTGGGCTTCTGTGTCCCTCAGTCTTTCTTCTACACCAGTTCTCTGGGCTCCAAATTCATCTTCTGGCCAGGAACCTTTATTTTGTATTTTCCCGAGTGGGACTTCATCCTCATCCATGTGGAAGAGAAAGAGAAATTTTTCTCTGTCATTTTGAAGCCTTAAGTTTTCCAATCAGAAAATCTGTCTCTCCACAAGCTGAAGCCTCTGTTAGTTAGCTGCTGGCTGTCTCCACAGGGACCGCCTCCGACAAGTCTCCTTAAGCTATCAGGACTGGAGATGTGGTAACTTTACCTTTTGGAGCCTGCCTAAGCCAATGTGACCTCTATACTAATTACTACTCGAGGAGAAGTAGCAGGACGTACAGAATTCCTGTAAAGTTAAAACATGATGAGCTAACCCCGTGCCTAGGGTGAGGACAAGGAAAGGCTATCAGATAGTCCCTTTTGTTCTTATAATTTTAGATGATCACATTCCTCAAAGTTAAAAGATGGCAAAATTATAATTGCTATGAAATTATACCTATGCTTACATGGAAATATGATTCTGTTTATAAAGTGTTATACTTTAAAAAGAATCTTCCTCGCCAAATTCAGGAACTACTGTTTGGAATATTTTTAGCTGTGTATTGTCTGGTTTTTAACCTCTTAAGTTTAGCAGTTAACTGGCTGATAAAAATAAATAAGGCTGAACTTAGTAATTCATACAGTACTATTTTCAAAGATTTAAATTTCCCACTAAAAGCACATTTTTATGTGTGTTGGGTGTCTGTACGTATGTGTATATAAAAGGTATATGCACACATGTGGAAGCCAGAAGAGAACACTGGGTGTCTCTGACTTATTCCTTTGAGAGAGTTTCTCACTCAACTTGAAGCTGGGTTGGTGGTCAGTAAATCCCAGTGATGTTCCTCAGTTGGGTTACGGACACCTGCAAAGCCATGTCCAGGTTTTTACATGGATGCTGGGATCTGAACTCATGACGTCATGCTTGTTCAGCAAACCTCCTAGCCACTGAGCCATCTCTCCAGGTTTTTTTTTTCTTTTTCTTTCCAATAAATTTTGATTGCCTTCTGTGAACTGTATGCGTTCTAGTAATACCTCATTGGGCTCCTCTTGGTTTTAGGAACCTAGAAAATATAGTTGTACTGTCTATTTAAATGTTGGTAACACAGGCAAGCATGAGTTTCATGGTAGACTTTTAAAAAAGTTTTTTTTTTTTTTTTAGACAGAATTTCTCTGTGTAACAGCCCTAGCTGTCCTGGAACTAGCTCTTGTAGACCAGGCTGGCCTCGAACTCAGAGATCCACCTGCCTCTGATGGGATGAAAGGCCTTAGTGTGTCTGGTTGTTTTCCTGTATGCATGTGTACTACATGCATACAGTACCCATGGGGGGCCAGGAGAGGGACTAGTGTTATATATGGTTGTAAGCTGCTATGCGTGGGTATGAGGAATTGAACATGGATTCTTTAAAAGAGCATCTAGTGTCTTAGCCATTGAACCATCTCTCCAGCCCCAGTGGTAGACTTTTCAAAACTTGGAGATAGGTTACAGAAACAGAAATGTTTAAACGAACCAACAAAGTGCTGTTAATGTTCTTTTTTTTCCCTTGAAGCAGAATGCAAACCACTTAATTGCAACCATTCTGTTCACATCTATTGATGTGTCTGCTTCTCCGTCTCTGTTGTGTCTCCAGCCTAGATGCAAAGATTGCTTATTGCTTCACTGAGGAATATGACCAAATAAGGAAGAAAACAAGCATTTAAGAGTTTCCAAAGGGTTTGGAGAGATGGCTCAGCGGTTAAGAGTGCTGGCCAGTTGCTCAACTCTTTCAGTGGTCCTGAGTTCAAATCCTAGCAACCACATTGTAGTTTACAACCATCTATAGTGGGGTCCAGTGACCCCTTCTGGTGTGTAGACAAAGTACTTGTGTGCACAAAATACATAAATCTTTAGCTGGGCCTGGTGCATTCAGGAGGCAGAGGTGGCTGGATCCATGTGAGTTTGAGGCCAGCCTGGTCTACATAGTGAGTTCAGGACAGATACCTTCTCAAAACAAACAAACAAGCAAACAAACAAAAAAACACAAAAACAAACAAAAAACAAAATCCAAAAAGAAAAAAGTTTATAGGAAGTTGTGTTGAGTAAGTGATAGGTAGCTTATCAACATTATATACCAGGAATGATGATCATTTCTAAGGAAAAACCAAAACAAGTAGAAAGGCAGCAATGAACAAAAGAATCTCTTTGACAAGATGGTGTAAGATTTTTCTGGAACTTTTTTGTTGTTTTTTTTTCATTTTAAAAATATTTAGAGTCAGGGTCTTAATTTGTAGCCCCAACTACCCTGGAACTCACTCTGTAGATTGAACTGGCCTCAACCTCACAGAGATCCACCTGCTTTTGCCTCCTTCTGGGTACTGAGATTAAAGGTGTACATCACCATACCTGGCAAAAAAATATTTTACAAAGGAATTGCTGCTGACGAGAAAGCTTTGGAAGGGGGATGCAGGCTAGGTCAGCTTCATGTGAGATGAGGTCATTCAGAGAGTGAGCTGAGAAAAACTCAAGCTGGTGGAAGTCAGGAAAACACTACGATGGGATTCCAGCTAAAGGGAGAGCATGCAGGAAGAGGCTCTGGGTCAGCACCTTAGCATCAGGGCCCTGCAGATTCTGCGAGTGTTCTTTCTGCTCCATTCGACTCAGAAACATGACTCGGGGAGACTTTTAAACAGAAATTTAATTAAAAACAATTTCCAACACAGATGTTTATGATCATTTTAAAATGCATCGCCGTTAAACAAAATTCGTGAATGTGCGCATGGAGACAAAGGGAAAGTGACTTTGTGGCTCTGTGGTAGGGCACTTGGGCAAGCCCTCATCGCTCACCGTGGCATTTTCACACCTTCCAGGTTGCTCATCTGTGACATTCCTACCCAGCCTTGTATGTAAACACTGTTAGAATGTTTTGAGACTACCATCTTTCCCAAAGGGATCAACCCCAAATCCAGAATTGGCCATGTTTAAAACCATCAAGAGCAGGAAGGTGGAATGTGGGCACGTTCAGAATATATGGAGATGAGAGCTGGCAAATTCTCAGTCATATTGTTTCCAAATTAGGGGAGAAAATATACAAAAAAAATTCAAGAAAAATATGACAGAAATGTAAGTGTATTCTAGGTATATTTAAATTACTTGATACATATGGTGTTTTCATTAGAAACACCTCCAAGAGATATCACTGAAAGAGTCTGGGATGACAAACTAGTTGTGGGCGATAGACAGTCCTTAAAAGATATGGCAATATGGCAACTCTCCACCAAACCATGGAAGGTGACACAGTCCTTAGCGAGGCTGTGCAACCCAGATGGCCACAGCAGTCTCGGTTCTGCCAAATCCCTAACAACATGGAAAGTAGAAAACTGAGATTGAGCAACTCACAGGCCTACTGGGAAGAAATGGACAGGATGAATAGAAATCCAGGCCAGACAAAAATACCGGAACTTCTGGGATATTTCAGGAGTCTCAGCTTCCTCCTGTCCCTAGTTCGTGTCTGCTATGGTCGGCCCAGAGTTACTGGTAACTAAATATTTCATGAGCCTGTAAGTATAAACCCACTGAGTCAAAGTAGAAAGGATATACAAGACTTCTTTTTGGGTTTTATGCTTTCCAACATCACGGCCAAAATTACAAATTCATATTCAAAGCTGTGGTAGAGGTACAGGCTTCTATTTATGAAACAGACTTTTTATATTGAAAAGGCTTGTGTAAAATGCAGTGTGTACATCAGATACTACTTAATCCTCTGAAAATTGATCTGGGCTTTTTGGCAGACAATTCCCCAGTGATGTTCTTGAGGGTAGGCCCTCTTCTCCACAACGGCACAGAGGATGTCGGTGAACAGCTCCGCCATGACTTCCAATGTCGCTTTCTCCTCACTGCTTTTTAAATGGACTGAAGGAGCTCTAGCGCCATTTCCCCCAGCATGGTTTTGGACCTGAGGCCAAGTTATGAAGCAAATATATAGAGCACAGGAAGAAACAGGCTGGAGGCAGTTTGTAAATGTTCCCATGGCAACGGCACCTCGGGTGTTCACTTCCAGGCGTCTGCACAGATGTGCTACAACTTCTTGGGTCTTATAAAAACAGTCATCAAGAGAGACTCGAGTTGCTGCTATGCCCAGACTCTCCCCAGATAAGGACTCTTCCTCATGCTATGAGAATCATGGACTAGATTTTAAGATGCCGTCAATCATAAAATTCTCTTTAAAAAGTGTGAGGATTAAATGTGAGAACACAAAAGCCACCAAGTACCTGGATACAGAGATATTTAGCAGAGATTATCTACCTTGTTTTCTGTGTTACCTGCAGTTAGGAAATGGCTAAATATAAACCAAAGATTACCTCATCAAAAAAGCCCCGCCCAGTTGGCCTTTAAATAGAGTTACCCCTCTCTGCTATATTTCTGCAAACACTTTCCTTGATACCCAGTTTTCACTGTTTGTCCTGACTCCGTGGTGGAGATCTGAATCATTAAGGCGGCCTCTGTAAAACGTACCTTGAGAGTCTTTCATAGAATGTTTAACGAATGTTCTTCAGAGAATTAGAAAGTAATGTGTTTCAACAATGGTGACTCTTTGAAGAAAAACAAACAAACAAAAGACCTTAACTTGGCCAAGGTAATATATTTATGAAGAGTGGCCTAATATTTGCAGTTCTGATTAAGATTTCAGAACTTTACCCAACTGAAGTAAAAGATGTGTTCCATACACTTACTGCCCCCATTTTCACAGTTCTGAGAATTTTTCTTTAAAGTAAAAACACTCTCCAGTGACTGAAAAAGAACATGGCAGGCAGGGCTGAAATGGCATGACCTCAGAATCAGCCTGCACCTTAAAGGAACCAGTTTGCAGTATACAGGCAAAAGTAGGAAAGGAAGCCAGCATTAAACTGGACTGAGCCTTGGGAAATTAACAAAAATTCACTCACATCATTTTCCAAGTCAAGAGCTGGTTTTGAAAGAATAAAACATAGTTATTATAATTTATTCTGCAACAAATACTATGGAAATAATCTAAACTTCACAATTACGGATGAAAACAGACGACATCCCATTTATAAAGTGCCTTCGTGTACCAAGGCTAGAGGGCGGAGCTCTTTATTCACAAGCCATGCTGATCACATTTACAGAAAGGCAATGACACACAGGAAGCATCACAGTACGGCGTAAAGAACTCCTGATCTGGCATCGGATAATCGCCCTTGAGCACTGGCTTTGCCACCACTTATCCCTGTAATCTTAAGGAAATGACAGTTTTTCTGGACCTCAGACTTCTCATCTGAAAATGAGAGGTAGAACCAGACTGTTCCCAGCACAGTCTCTGCTTAGGTGTCAAAGTCTATGGTAAATAACACGCTACTCTTAAATCCCAGCGATCTACACCAGGGTGGCTCCCACGTTACTGTCTGTAAAAACACGAGAGTTCTGATCAGCTCCGTTGCGGGTTACTGATTTGGCTGCTCTAGAGAGGTACACAAAAGTCACAGTATTTTGGTTACCAGTACATTATGTGTAGGCTTTGAAGAACCTAGATAAAGGGAAATCACAATGACATTGTTGGCATGATCTTGTGCCTCTACTACCAGAGGGATGCATGACAGTAGAGGAACACTAGCCCACACATAACTAGGTACTGTCATTCAGAAAGACGCAGGGGACCTTTCAAAATGAGGACGCTGAGAAGTTCTTCATCAAGTAATACAATGAATTTTTAAAATACACCTAGTTGGTGATGTTTGTCTGGTAAGGTAAACTTCCTGAACAAAGTGGGCTTGCTATTCAGAGAAAAAACTTTGGTTATTCATAGATTGGTAAATATACACTCAGATTGGCTTTTTTTTTTTAAAGAATATTAGCCTAATGGTAGGAGTCTTCTGAATTAATTTTATTACCATAACCAGGTAATATTTCTTAGTGGAACCACTAGTTAGAATTATATATGCATCAAGAACACTAAAAGACAAGCTTTCTTTCTGTGAAAAGTTGTTTCTGTTCACATTTTTTTTTTGTTCACATGGGTATGCCAACATTTAATTAAGCAAAAATGTAAATGCCAACCTGCTAAAAGTTAGGAGCTGGCAAGCTCTTAGAACAAAGTGCAAAATTAGTTTCACATCAAGCATATTCTATGCCTCATCAAAGGAAAAAGCAACATTCATGGATTGGTGAACTGAGGGTCTAGTTAAACAGAATGACACAAACTTCACTTGGAATTAAGGACCCAGTGGAAAAAGCAGATCTGGCAAATCTTATGACTAGCAAAGTAGACTCCAAGAGTGCAGTGTGGCAGAGTCCCTAGGATCAGATGTAAAGGTTCCCATCTGATCTGTGCCTTTGTCTAGACCTGTCATGTCCAGCGGCATGCCCCAACCCACAGACTCTCCCCGGGTCTGTCAGACTCAGGTACTCAGAACGGAAATGAAAAAGCAGCAGAGGACCAGGATGTTTCCACTGGTTCATCCCCTCCTGGAAGACGACCACATCTGTTTCAACCAAACACAATTACTGCAGGGAGTCTTAGCTTTAGAACAAAGAGGGTTTGAAATCAGCACTCGATTTACAAAAAGGGCACCACAGACATTGTGTGGTGTTCTGCTGCAGTTGAGATGGTATAGCGCTCCTAATATAGAGCAGCTCATAAAGTATGGATGAGAAGTAGGACAAAAGGTACTCAAAAACTCGGGCAAAAATCGCCAGTAAATCCTGCCACCTTACTGGTAAAGCATCTGTACTGATCTACACTCTTAATTTTTGCCTTTCAAGGTTTTTTAAATTTTGCTAACAATATCAACTTATTTAAAATAAAGGGGATATTTGTAGGGATAAATGAAGTACAGTGAGAAAATGTTCACCCAAACAGCATCTCTTCAGAAAACACCAAGAACACTTGAGTGTTAAGTACCTGTCACCTCCAATTGCTTATTGTTTATTTGTAATTTAAAGACAGGGTCTCTCTACAGAGCTCTGGCTGTCCTGGAGCTCAGAGACCCGCTGGCCTCTGCCTCCTGAGTGCTGGGATTAAAGGCGTGCATCATGCCCATCAGAATTTTATTGTTCACACACCCAAGACCTAGAAAATCAACTATTTGTAAGACACCCATTTTAGAAAGAATTCTACATCCCCACATCTGCTCCACAGTGATAGCAGCTCACACTCAATCAAATGCTGTTCTAGATAGAATTGCTGGGAGAAACTTGTATTTGTGCAAACAAAACCAAGAAAAGTAAATGGACTACTTGGCACCTGAAAAGAATATGAAGATGTAAACTGTCACTGTCACAGTTATTTCTGGCAACTCTGTGGTGCTTTTTCCCATCATTAACAGAATCTATAAAAATGACAAGGGGAGCTACTGGAAGATTTAGCATGAACAGGTGAAGGTTTTACAGACTCCGTAATGGAGCAGATTTTTCAGTCTAAATGAGTTTTTCTAATGTATTTGCACTTTTGAAAATAGTCTACAAAGTATCTTAATGTGATCACTGAATTTTTTATAAAGCAAAATAATGTCCTTTCTCATAAGACAAGAAATTTAATATACTTAACCCTACGCTGGAGATACACAAAAGACAATTATATATGTTACTAGCAAGTCTTATTTTGTACAAATTACAGAATATTCATTTAAAAAAACATACATATGACCTTTGATGGTACATTTACATTTCTATGCTGGCAAATATATTTTTGGATACAAAGGCACTTTGAAAACCCAATATGGTTTGGTTCATAAGTTTGCAAGGTACAAACAATTTTACAAACATATGATTACACTGAAGAACGTCAACAACTGTGACATCACATAGAAAACTGACTTCTTTTTGTAAAAACAACACTGGTTTTGTGGGAATAAAAGCAGTGGTTTCCAGCAGCTTTAGTGAAGACATTCAGAAGATTGGCAGCCCACGGTCTGGATTTCTCACTAGCTGGGTCTGATGATAGGATGGGCTGAAGGTGATCAGCAAGAACCCCCAGAAAAAAGTTTTTAAAAAAGACAACCCAACACCCTAGAACAAACCCAGAAACCTTGGTAATCAGAATGGCTTGGCGGGAAGAGCACACAAGGCCACAGTCTGTGCAGATCCGGCTGTGATCCCCGAGCACACCTGGCTCCACCTGCACTGGGTGGCACTTCCGAGCTGTAGTGATGACGTCTCTCCTTTCGAGCACTGGGTAGTACAATGCTTTGGACTGTACAGTACTGGGAAATTTTGGTCCTCAAACAATTTCTTTTCATTGACTACATCGCTGCAAAGTCAATCTGTACATAAAGCTGCCTCACTCCAGCCTGAAAAATAGAGAGAAAAATTAGAATACCAAACCTCTAAAACCTATAACAGATGAACATTCTAGAAAAGTGGCAGGAAAGCAAACAACACCTCATTTGTCTTTCGAAAATTTTGTCTCCTGCTTCTAAGAAACACTTTGAATTATTTTTGTCTTCTCCTTCTTAGAAACAATCTATTCTCATTGTGAAGTTGTCAAACCACTACAGGAAAAAGTTCTATGCTATTAATCACATGCCCTGTTCACGTGCTATTAGATGGAGCTATGCATTTGCCATCACCATTAGAGGACACGGCAGTGCTCAGTTAGCCACTATTAAAACCAGCTGACCACAGGCTAAATCTTCCCATGACGACATATGCATTTATTTAATAATAACAACCAGCAATTGGTTACTTATTTTACAGTCTAATTCCTTCAGTTTGGGATATGAACTTGGTATTCAAGAACACTGCACTCTAAATTGTCCCCTACCTCTTCTATATTATCAACTTTATTTTCTCAGCTGGGTCATTTCTATTAGTGTCAAACACACTATAATTTCTTCTACCTTAAAAAAAAACCTTTTGCTTTCCTTTCTGCCACCGCCATGCCATCCAGACTGAAGAAGACCCGGAAACTCCGGGGCCACGTGAGCCACGGCCATGGCCGCATTGGTAAACATCACAAGCATCCAGGATGACGCGGGAACGCTGGAGGCATGCATCATCATAGGATCAACTTCGACAAATATCATCCAGGTTACTTCGGGAAAGTTGGTATGAGGCATTACCACTTAAAAAGGAACCAGAGCTTCTGCCTGACTGTCAACCTGGATAAACTGTGGACGCTGGTCAGGGAGCAGACCCGGGTTAACGCAGCCAAGAACAAGACTGGAGTTGCTCCCAACATTGACGTCCTGCAATCGGGCTACTATAAAGTTCTGGGGAAGGGGAAGTTCCCTAATCAGCCTGTCATAGTGAAAGCCAATTTTTTCAGCAGAAGAGCTGAAGAAAAGATAAAGGGTGTTGGAGGTGCCTGTGTTCTGGAGGCTTGAAGCCACTCAGGGAGGACAATTTAATGCTAACATTTTCCAAAAAAAAAAAAAAAAAAAAAACCTTTTACTTAACCCAGTACCCATTCCTGCCTGGATAGTCTCAATCCCTGCCCTTGTGGATAATCAAAATTCCCAAACATGCCCACAGTCATAGTCTCTAATTCCTTTGCTTTTGCAGTCATTCAGCCCTGATTTTACATCTCACCATTTTCTAAAACTATCTGTCAAGCAGCTTCCAAACTGCTTATACCATTCCATACTCAGTTCTCAGTCCTCATTATCAGGAATGATAGATATTACCAGTCTCCCTATGCCAATCATCTTTCCCTATGACACTGCCAGAGAATATTCACTGGCCAATCACTTGCCAAACGGTCAGTCTCCGTCACTGTTTTTTTCTATCACTGAGCAATAAGCACGGACATAGCCAAAGGCTTAGTGCTTGGAATCTACACTTGTTCTCTAATGGTCTCGTCTTACAGCCAGACTGTGAGTCAACTTTGTATGTGTTCATACCTCCTTGTTTATATGTGTAGACTGGAGCTTGCATCTATAACTTTCGCTGGAACTTGACATTTTATTGGGGGTATTTAAGAAGCAGCACAGGACCAGTGTACTCTCTTTCTTCCCATCAAACCTGCTGACGTACCCTCAATACTGTTCCTTCTAAAGATCTTTCCATTTCTCACATTCAATATCCAACCTACTGGCAAAACTTGGTGGCTTCCCACTCAAAATATTATCCCAACCCAGAACTTGCCCATTGTCTGTCATCTCTATCACTTTGAACCTACCCTAGCCACAATCAGCTCTTGTTGAGATTTTATCTATGCCCCTTGCATGGCTTTCCCATGTCTGTTTATTTTCAGAATGGTAACTAGAATGACAAGCATCCTCTATGTCTTCAACCACCCAACAGCCTATCCCCTTAGTCCTTTCAATGGCCACCACACTGCCATGAACGTGACTCTTGACTTGCCCTCTGAGCTCACTGTTTACTCCTCCTCCTGTTTACTCCCCTTAGCTATATAGCCCTCCTGTGAACTATGCTCCATAAGACAGCCACACAACTGCTGCACAATATTCGTTTACACTGTGTGAAGATGTGTCACTGTGGTTGGCTTACTAAAGAGCTGAATGGCCAATGGCTAGGCAGGAAGAGGTTAAAGTGGAAGTTCTGAGGACAGGAAGAATTCAGAGAGAAAGACAGGGTTACAAGGCAGACTCAGAGAAAGCAGCATGAGACGTATGAAAGGATGCCAACAACAGAACATAGGTTAAAGTAAATGAGTTAATTTAAGTTATAAAAGCTAATGGGACAAGCCTAGGCTAAGGCCAAGCTTTCATAATTAATAAGTCTCGGTGTCATTATTTGGGAGCTAGTGGTACAGAGAAAGACTTGCTACACAAGATGTACATCACACCCATACCCAGACGTCAGTGAAGTCTGACCTCACAACCCTTACAAAATGCATTCACTTTTTAATCCAACGAGTATTCTCTCTCGCATGTATTGTTTGCCAAGTAATAGCCTCTCACCTAGGAAAACAAAAAGAGGAAAGAACATAAAAAAAAAACAGCCGTGTCTTCACAGAGTTTATATTCTATCAAAACCAAGAGGAAGAAGAGGGAATGACAGAAGAAAACACCAGTCGTCAGATGTAAAGCCAGAGAGGAAAAACAAGGCTTGCTGAAGAAGAGGCAGACACTTGAGACACCCCCAGTCTCCCTGCACTCTTACCCAAATACCTGTCCCTTGGTCAGGTCAGCTTGAGACCACTACACTCTGGACACACCTGCACTGTCATGTAAGATCATAAAGATTACTTATTCAGTGTGTTTGTTATTTCTGTTCTACTATAATGTAATCTCTCCAAGAGAAATATATTTGTCTTCTTTTGCATTCCAGACTCCCAGAACCTTTGTTATATCTGACACAAAGTAAGAGGTCAATATAGATTACTGAAAGAACTAACATCCTATTAATTTCTTTCTTTTCATCAAAAACTACTTTTAAATAGAAGCAGGGAAAAAAAGAAAGAAACAAGATGGGTCTTGCCAATACTTCACAAGGAGAGGTTCTCAGTAGCGGATAAAGAAGTATTAATGTGACCTCAGAATAGTAATCATCAGCTCCTCAAAACACTCATTTCTATTATGGTTTGTTTTTTCTGGAACTCAGGTGGAAGGGTTGTGTGCAATACCAAAGAATGCATGAGCTAGCTTCAGGACTTATTCTAGCTGAATAAAAAGCTACACAGCTCTTAGGTTGTGAGCACAAAAAATATGCCATTTGCCTCCCCCCAAAAGCCTTCCCATGACCAACTAAAAATCTTGTTACGTAACTTACAGAGAATGCACTTGTTTCACTTCTCGTTGGCTAACAGGCTGGTGGGAAGAACTGGTGTTTGGATGGTCTTTACCTACAAATGAAAACTGAAGCCCAGTCCGCCACACTGTGAAACAGTGTTGATAAAATCAGTGCTACTCATTTGCAGGAGTCTTACACACACATCTAATATTTAACAAGTAGTTAATAAACCCACTAACCTAGAGTAGGCGCTGTTGCCAGGATCATGTGTGAATATATGAGAAAAAATTTCACTTGCGACAAAGGCTGTTATTATAAATTATTCTGATTTACTGCAAGTATATGAGTTGATCAATCCAGATGGCTCTCAGATGATTGAGAAACTATTTTGCAAAATTCTTATATGTGTAATCTTAATAGAAAGTAAAAATGTTGCCCAAACATATTGTTTAATATCTTTTCTTTTTAAACAAAATTGCTAATGAAAGCAAAATGGGCAAAACAGTTGGGCTCCTTTTTTATTGCCTGCCATTCCCATTACCCCAGTCTTAACATGGGGAAGACAGTAATAAGAAATGAGTAGCCCAAGGCGATGAAAGGGAAAGAGAAAAACAAAGGGGCTAGATAAATTATCTTTGCATAATCATGAGTTAATTACTCAAACTGATATCAGTCCCCTGAGGGGATCACAGCTTTCCACAAAAGCTCAGTCCAACTGCAAAGATAAAGAAGTCATTTGTTGTGGCCGCCTGTCCCAGTGAGATCAGCAGCTTGGTTCTCCAGTTCCCCGTGTTCACTTCAATTTCCTTCAATGTAAAGAGAAAGCCAAATTTCCAAGAGTCTTTGGGCAAGTGCCCTAGTGCCCGAGACAAAGAGATCTAGAGCTCAGCCACAGAAGACATGGCAGCCATCTTCTGCACCTTCTTTAGTGGGAAAGACAGCTAGTCAATTTAACCCTCTAAGTCCACTGCCCCTGTTTCCACCCCAAAAGCTGACCTGGTGCTAGGTACAGGCTTGGGATAGCTCCAAAGAAGTTAGAGTCAGGAAAACAAATGGGAATATGACTGTAAAAACTGTGTTTTACTTATATTCTCTATGGACCAAAGTCATAAACACATTTTTTTTTCTTGAGTTTTTGACTGAACATGCTAATCATTCCTTTAAAACACAAAAGGGGGACTAGAGAGATGGTCTAGGGATTAAGAGCATTGCCTGCTCTTCCAGAGGACCCAGGTTCTTCTAGCGCCCACATGGTGGCTCAACACCCTCTGTAACTCCAGTCCCAGAGGATCTGGTGCCCTCTTCTGGCCTCTGCTGACACTAAGCACAGACAAGATGCATAGACACACACATGCAGACAAAACAAGCACTAATATAATTTTTAAAAATGTAAAATGAAGTCATGCAAAACTATTTTACTTTTCCATGAGAGATACTACAAATTAATGAAATGTAAATAAATATGACTAAACTGTAAGTCAAGAATAACAATATAACTAGTAATTATTCCTCACCTGCTATTCCAGAGCTCTTGACACAGGGCAGGGGCAGGAAGACTACAACTTTGAAGCTGCCCTAGCTAATGAGCAAGTTCTGGGCCAGCCTGGGACACTTAATGACGCAGTGAGAAGAACCAAGTACTAAGGATAACCAAGACCAGTGCTCACTTAACATCACAAAACAAACAAAACATAAAAAGAAAGAAAACAGATCTGCTTTTTTTCCCTGTAAACTGCCCTGTGGTAATGAATACATTAATTCCTGTCATTGTAGCTGACACCTAGTGGGCTCTCAGTCAGTGCCAGTCAACAACATATATACCTTATGGTTTGATGAAAAACACATAAGATCCAAGCTGTCCACGCAGCCTCCTGAATTTTAGGTACATGTGATAAAGAAAGATGAGAAGAATGGCTAAAAAAAAGTCTGTAGAGCAGGCAAACAAAGCCAATACTCAATAAACATTAAAGCCCATTACAAAAAGGGGGAAAAAAAAAACAGGTGGAAAGGGTAGAAAACCCGAAACCCACTCAGACAACGGAAGAAGACCCTTCTTCTGTGTGTGTCAGTCAAGCAGAGTACAGCCCTGAATGATGCTGCTGGCCAGAGACGGGAGGGATTGTGAACACAGGAGACTGGAGGAGGCAGACGGTTTCTGTAGCTTAGGGATTCTGACTTGTGCTTGGAGAAGGCTTTTTCATTCCTTCCTGGATATAACTGTTAACTTCTATTTTGAGGTCAGAGAACAGAGCACAAAAGGCAGAAGCAGGAAGCTGGGGACTCAGGAAGCTGGGGGCTCAGGAAGCTGGGGGCTCAGGATGCTGGGGGCTTAGGATTAAACCAGCATAAATGGGAGAAAGCAAGCTGGGAAACTGAGTAGGGGTTCTGCCAGGAGAGAACTTGTAGTAGGTTGGCTGTCTTTCGTGGTTTGAGGAATAAATGAGGACAGTGGACCTCAAGGATATTTTGGATCTTTCTTTGAACATACTTAAGACTTTTTTCTTCAAACATTATTTCTAACAAAACAAAGTCTATTAAGGCTGCAATTAAAATTGTGAAGTATACCATTAAGATTAACAAGTGATCCTTGCCAGTTTAAACAAAAGCCATAAGCCACTGAACTGCTTCTCATTGAGAGTTCCCCTTTCTGTCTGCTTCTAAGTCAACTGGTAATTAATTTCAAAAACAAGCTTAGGAAGCTTGTTAGGAAGTCTTACTGAGGAAGACTCTGCTGGACTGGATTACACTAACTACTATTCCTGAAGGAGTCTGAGCACCCGGGACTTCCAGCAACTCCCTTCCCTACACCACACACATGCATAGCAAGCCCATTTCTTCAGCAGTTCAGAAGAAACCGGTATTAAAAAGGACAATGCTCAGATCACCACAGATATAGACTGGGCAACTAAATAGAAACAATTCTTTGATTTCTGTTTCTTCCCATTTAAAGTTACCTCAATATAAGTTTTTGTAAAAAAAATAAAATCTTAACTAAAGCCCATTCCTGACGTTTTTACTCAGGGTCTGTTCTAAGAAAGACACCAAATACACAAAGGAAACTCAGCAGGAAGTTCTGCTTTAGAACCCTTTCTACAAGAGAAAGCTTCAGGGTGAGTTTAAAAAAGGGATTTTATTTAATTTTACTTCGACTTATTTTGTGTGTGGGTGCATGTGGAGGCCAGGGGAGTTAACTCTCTCTTCGGATCATGTGAGATCAGGTCCTTTACCTGCTGAGGCATCTCACTGTGTTTGGTGAGTTGTCCCCCTCAAGAAGGCAGTAACCTGGGTTCATTTTGGTAAATGAGAGATATGAGGAAGATGTAACTTAAGATACAAAGTCATTTAAAAATCTGCATATCGTGAAATAAAATTTGACATTTACTCATGCTATAAGGACACACTTTACTTCTGCATAAACACAAAAGGAAATAAATTATTTAAATATGCTATTCTGGTATGTGAGAATTTAAAAAAGAAGATTAAACAAAAACTTTAAAATCACTCAGTGTAGGAATAAGAATTATTTTAGAAATGTGACCCCCCACTACTCTGGGTTGGGGTGGGGAAGGACTTTGAATGGTTTCACAGCAAGTCTCAAAGGGAATCCCTGGCAGCTACAAGGAATGAAACCAACTAGTCAGGACTTTAGCTGATAAACTGGCTTTAAATACTCAAAGGCCAAATGTAGTTTCTGAAACAGAAGAGGCAGCTGAGGGAACATTCAAATGCAGCCATTTCCAAAGGCCAAGTTTAAGGCTTTGGAAATCTCCCTTTGCTGCTGTGGTTACAGCTTCAGGACCCAGCAGTCAGCTGCTACAAGCATGGTTCTCAAACTAGAAACTGCATTCCTTTTCACAGGGAAGACAGTGACTCGCTGACCAAGTCATGAGTGTGCAGGGTGTCCTAGAAGCCCACCGGAGCCCTGCTGCGAGGACAGGGCGGCACTGGGAGAAGACACAGGGTAAAGGAGAGGGGACCTTGGTCTGGAGGGGGCAGTAAGCACAAGGTTACTGCCATGCTGCTCTCCTTTGGTCCCTGAAATACGGAGCCAGTATTCAGATATACTGCATGGGCCTCAAGGCTTCATTATGAGAGCCATGGTGATACACATTGCAGAGATGAGACATTTATATACTGTGTCTGCTCAGAAAGCTGTTAAAATTCTAAACAAGAGGAACCAGCACACAGTATAGCAGTCTTAACTGCATCTAAGATCGGGATTATGTAAATCCTAATTAACATTAGCTGTGTCAGTAATTCATTCATAAGGAACCTAAGCATGTGTGTCTCTCATCAGGAGGCAGAATCTCTAATTTATGTAATGCCTGAATTTAACTAGACTGCATATTATATTCATGTCTGGAGATGCGAAGAAAGAGGAAGAGAGAATTATGTACCCAGTGACACATACATCACAGGAAAGTAATTCTGCTTAGAAAAACGTCTAGACTCTAGTCAACAATACTAACTAAAGTGCAAGGTCCTGGGCCAATACCCAGCACTGGAAAAAAAGAAAGGAGAGAGACTATTAAAGAAATAAAGACCTTCCAAATTTTGACTCAGAATGGAGAACACTGTTTACTCTTCTTTTACTTTAGAAGCTTCAATATTTGGTATGTTAAATATAGGATTGTAAAGCTAGCAGATACAGAGAAATATAGGACTCCCAAAAGAGGCTTGTACAAGTCATACCTGAGTAAAAATATTATGTGTTTGGCTTAAGATCCACCTGGCGTCAGCATCAGGGGCGACTATGAGCTTCAAGGTCCCAACGTAAACATCAGAACAGAGTGTCCAGAAGTGCTGTTCCTGTAAGCTGTAAACGCCTTGTAGCTGCTGCACCTGAAACACAGGGCAGATGTGGGCATTAAGATCAAGACAGTGCCCTCCCGCCTACATTCACCTAAGCGACAAAACAGAACAAGCTGATGCTTGGACAAACCCTGTGGAGTACCAATGCTCTGGTGACATGGAGACGGGTTGGGGAAAGAGGATGGATGCACACTTATTAAATCTGCTGAGACCTCTGAGAGCACCTAGGCGGAAGTTCTAACTTCAGCACAGTGATCGGAGATATGTTTAAGTACAGTCGGGTTATGGAGCTAGAAAAAGAAGGCACAATAGACCACTAGACCACGGGAGAAGGGGGAGGAAAGAAAGGACAGAAATGGACACATACTTGGAAATGAGAGAATTCATTACGCAGTAAAGATTCCTTGAAAAGGATAATAGGCCAGAGGGACATTCCTTTAACTAAAGTTAAAACTTTCAATACCCAAGCAATATGGACATGTTTTTGCAAATACGGGAAATTCAGTTAAGAAGCATAAAGGTGAAATGGCATTCCCCATTCTTCTGATCCTGTAGCTCCCCTAACTCCTCTTCTGGCTCTTCCACTTGTGCCCTGAACCTGGAGGTGACAACAGAGCCAAGAGAGCCTCTTCCGGGGTCACTGCATGCCTTCTCAATGCTTAGACACCTTCCTGCCCTCATGTCCCCGCCCCAGAACCTGACATGGCCTGCACACGCCAGGCAGCACTCCACCCCGAGCTTCTCCTTGGCGTCGCTTTAAATCTTTTCAGTCCTAATCAGCGCCCATGATGCCACATGTGCTACTTAGCTGTCATTCCCCCTAAATGTCCGCTGCGTATTTCAATCTTAATGTCTTATAAACAGAATCTTACTTTGGAATTAAAAATAAACAGAAACTTACTTCTTGTTCTCAAACACTTCCCACCCTAGTCTCGGCCTCAACAGTAGCATTACCATATACCAAGCTGTGAGACACCCTTTCCCCTTCATTAATGCAAAGTTCCTCCAAAAACACACTCCAAATGTGGATTTGCCTCCATCTTTCTGCCAATGACAGTAGTCTCAGCCAGCTTTTCCAAAAACATGTTCTTTACATAGGACAATCTTGTTAAAGCACAAAATTCATTACATTCCCACTGCACCATAGCACTCCGGATCTTCCCACTGAGAGTGGAGTCTAAGCCTCTAGCGCGACCAAGACCTCCTAACATCTGGTCCTTGCCTTCTTTCCAACCTTGCAATCACTTTTCCCTTTATTTATCATGTTGCAGCCACAAAACCAGTTTTGCCAGTCTCCAAATACGCTAAATTAGTTCCAGTCATAGCTGCCTCACATTAGCGGTTTTGAGTGTGTGTGTGTGCGCATTCTGGAACAGTCTTCGTAAGGATCTGTATATGACCCGACACTTCTGGTCATCGGGGTTTCAGTTTCCTTGCTGACTCTGATGCAGTCATCCACATCTACCACATTCCCATTTCACACAGTGGGCATCACTGTCATAGGAAGCCGCTTGTTTGTTTTCCCAGCCTCTCAGACTCCCGAAATAATCACACAAAAACTATATTATTTAAATCACTGCTTGGCCAATCACTTAAGTGTATTGCTAGCTAGCTCTTACATCTAGGATTAACCCATTTCCAGTATTTTATATTTTACCATGAGGCTAGTGGCCTACCAGCAAGGTTCCAGCATGTCTGTCTGACAGAGGCTCCATGGCTTCTCCTTGACTGCCTCCTCTCTCCCAGCATTCAGTTCAGTTTTCCCTGCCTAGCTCTACCCTGTCCTATCAACAGGCCAAGGCAGTTTCTTTATTCACAACATACAAAGGGGAATCCCACATCACATCACTGACATTTTCTTACCATCACGTCCCTTAACATTTGTGTGCCCACCACACTGTGAGCTGCATGAGAGCACAGTATCTTTCTCTGCTCATCGTCTGTCTCTACTATCTTAGAAGAGGATCTGATACATAGTGCACGCCACAAACATAACAAAAACAAAACATAACAAGCAAAAAAAATCGAGAAGGTGGGAGAGTCGGTTTCAGCAGCTAAGAGCACTTGCTGCTCTTCAGAGAACTGGAGCTCAGATCTCACAGCAATAGGACAGTCACTAAGAAAATTATATACTTATAAAATATACTTATTTTATCAGCTACTGAAAGTCTGTAATTTTTAATAACTCAATTTGTAGACAAGGACAATATGTACATCTTCTTTAGTAAAGTTCAACATTTTATAATGAGTTTTCTTGGGTTTATATGACTGACATTCATGCTGACCATGCAGTCTTGAAAGAATGATTAAACTTTATGCACAGGCTACCCATATTTATGCAAGACGAAAACACTAACAGTTTGGAAGGAACATGCAGTCCAACGGTTTGCAAACTTACCCTCTGATAGCACTGGGGAAGTGTATTTTCCAGTGAGGGAGGAGTCCTCTGCATTAATATTCCAATAGACTCTCTTAAAAGAGGAATAACACTAAAGAGAAAAAAAAACCTTAATAAGTCACATTTTAACAACTCCTGTTTGCAAGATAGTAATAATATACTTCCTTAAAGAACAGAATGTGATTTATTAAAATTTCAGGGAAAAAAAACTACTAGTCTTTGTTCCAAATTTCTCATAGAATCAGAAAGCTATTAGAGTAAAGGAGATAGAGAGAATACATCCATTAATGTATTCGTTGATTGATCTACTATTTCTAAATCTGGTTATTTACCGGCTCTAAAAATGTGTGTGTGTGTGTGTGTGTGTGTGTGTGTGTGTACACTCATGTACCTGTGCCTGTGGGTACCTGAGAAGTCCAGAAGCAGGCTTCAGATCCCCTGGGGCTGTCAGTTGTGAGTCACCCCATGTAGGATCTGGGAACTAAACTCTGGTCCTGTGCAAGAGCTGTAAGTGATCATAACCATTAAGCTGTCACCCAGTCCTATCCATCATGTTTTCATTTTTTAAAATACACAGTAGCCTGGTTATTTCCACAGATGGATGAAGACTCCTCTAGGAATAGAGTGCAAAGTCACTATGGACACAGTGATCTTTATCCAACATTTGAACTAGCGCTTGAGCTTATTTGGAAGACCGTGTTTAAACAAAACAATTGACAGCATAAAGGTAAGGGTTGCTAACGCAATATTTCTCCAATCTAGCTAGACACCAAATTCACCTTGGAGCTCATTTTGCATTTAGCTTTGACATGCTGAACCAGAATAACTAAGGAAGGTCCAGACATCTACAGGTAGGGCTGCAAAGTTCTGCAGGTGATTCCAGTAAGTCAGAGGGGAACATGTGCTCTACTGATGGCTACAGATTGAGGGGAGAGGTCAGAAAAAATCTCCCTGCCCTTAACAACGGACTCCACCGCTCACTTTCAACCTTATGTAGTCTCTAAGTGTCAAATACAGAGTTCTCCTAGAAGCAGCTGCAGGAGGTGGAGAGCACGGAATTCATGCCTGTGATCTCACAGCATCTCACAGAAAGGTGGAAGAGGATCTGTGTCTTAAGGACCAAGAGGAACAGGGACAGTGTCTGACTCAGCATCAAATTCGGAACTGTGCCTAAGGGATTTGTGGTCTTTCTGACAGATGAGAAGGAAGAGGAACAGGGGCAGTGTCTGGCTCACCATCGTGTTCCCAGGGAGGCCTAGTAAGGTGCTGGTCACCAAGTATGCCCGTGATAAGTGCTGGCTGAATGATTGAAAGATACACAGATACCAGGCATTTTAGAATCTAGATTAAAGAAAAGAAAAGGACACAGAAAAAGAATTAGAAGTGTGTTCTCAAACGTTTAAGTATAGAGTGATTCTTGAGTAAAGAAGAATAGCAATGGGAACGAAGACAGGAGATTAAACAGGCAAACATAACTGGGATCTTTCAATACAAATGAAATATGAAGGCAGGCAGCAGAGAGGGTGTCATTTTCAACCTGGACAGGAGTTTTAGTCACATTTAGTAAAACATTTGTTTAGTAAGATAGTTACAAGAATGACACATTAAATATCACTGGTGACTCCTTCTTAACCCTTACTGCCTTTGTGCTCTATAAACTAATCAGATGTCCTGACACTACACCCAGGATAGTTTTAACTAGTTCATCCCACTCCATAGCCAGTGATTTTTCAGATCTTTCACCTGGATTATTACATGAGCCTCCTAAGTATTCCCTAGCATCTAATCTTACTGCCTTAAGTCCATATGGTAGGCAGATTCATAGATGGCTCCCAAGA